AAAACAAAAATAGCATTCAACAACTTGCTTTATTTCACTTAAAATTATATATGAGTATATAGCTCCATGCTATTGTATTAATATATGGATTTATTCTGTGCTTTCTATCAACTGCACAGAATTCCATATTATTAATATGATGCTCCATGATTTATGTAATAGTTTCCATTTAGATGGACAATAAACGTTTCCATTTTTTCTCCATTACATTATGCTTTAGTGAGCATTCTTATTCATCTATCTTCATATAGTTGTTTGAATATTTTAATAGGATTTATTTCTACAAGTGAAATTGCCATATTGTGAGGATATATAAATTTAAAATTTTGGTTGCCCTCCAAAAGGTTTATAATAATTCACAGTCCCACAAAAATGTCTGACAAAAATGGATTATCATTTTGCTTTAAATGGCATTTTCTTCATTGTTAGTGAGGTGGAACAAATATTCATTAGTGTTATTTGTCATTTGTATTTTTTCCATAAATTGTCTATATACAGTGTCAAAGTTTTAATGGGATGTTTAGTATATTTTATGGGTTCATTGGAATTCTTCACATTTTAGGATATTAATTGATATATCTCAAAGTTTTTCCCTTTCTATATATTTTGGCTTTTCTATTGTGTATAGCCCTTTTTTTCCTTAAAAACTAAAAAAAAATTAGGTGACCTTTTTGTCAATCTTGTTCTTTATGTGTTTGGAGTTCTGTGTGCATTCCCATCACCTCTCCACCCTAAGGTTCAGAAATATTCACACATGTTCTGCCCGAGACGCTGTTTTGGCTTTTACGTTAAGAGCTTTAGTCCATCTGGAATTTGCTTTGGGATAAGGTGCGAAATACAGATGCAGCCGATTTTCAAATACACAGACGTTTTCTCCAAAGCTTTCGTTCTCCCACTGTCTGGAAATGTGCTACTTTCTATGTACCTGTGTCTGCTTCCAAACTTCCAAGTGTTTCCTATATTTTCTGTAGCTACATTGGCACTATACAGATTTAATTATAGTTTTACATAGTGTATTTTTATATCATTGCTTTACTAGTCAATTGTTTTCCAAACGTTAGCTATTGTTCTATAATAGATTCCAAGTTCTAAAGCTCATACTCCCCAAAATAACCACTGAAATTCTCATTTCCATTTCACTGAATTTATGTAATATTTAGGGAGGATTCATATCTTGATAATATTAAGTCCTTATATCCATGAATATATTCAGTCTTTTATGCCTCAACCAAGTATTATCATTTTTGTTTTCATATTACTCTTGCACATTTAATTTTAGATATTTTGTAGTTTTAGTTGCTGTTTTTAATAAAATTCTTTTCCATTATGTTGTCTAACTAATGATTGATGGTATGTAGAAAAGCTATCTATTATATTTCTATACGGCTACCCTACTAATTTTCGTATTTGTTTAACTTGTTTTTCAGCCAGTTGTTTTGGGGTGGGCAAATTTTTTTCTGTAAAGGGCCAGATTGGGAGTATTTTGGGCTTTGCATGTCGTGGGATCTCTGTCGCAACGACTCAGCTCTGCCCAAAGGAGTAACAACAGACAGCACATAAATGAACGAATGTGACTGCGTTCCAATAAAACTTAATTTACAAAAACTGGCTGCTGGCTAGATTTGGCCCTTGGGCATGGGACGTGGCTTTCTGATTACATTCTAAGAATGCAAAAATATATCATATTTAAATAATACATCTTTGTCTCCACAACATTGAACTTCAGAAATTTTGAAAAATAAAAATGATAATAGTCACTCGTGTCTTGTTCTTATTTAAGGTGTTAGGCTCTTGGCGATTTCACCATTAAGTTTGATGTTTCTTATTAACTTTTAATAGATAGTAATACTTTTATCCAGTTAAAGGTGTTGTCATCTATTCCTAAGTGACCAAGAGATTTTAAGAGCAATGTGATTGAATTTTATCAAATGCTGTGTAAGCATCTGTTAATATTAACATTTCTCCTATTATTTTCTTCATGTACATAAACAAGATGAACTATCCTTAAATTCCTGGAACAAACGATTCTATTTTCTACATTTCATTTTGGATGTCTACATCTATATTCATATGTGAAGCCATAGTTTTCTTTTTGCAGTATTTCTTTGATTTTTCATACTATTCTACTCTTGTAGAATGAATTGGGAGGCTTCCTATCTTTTTTTATATTCTGAAACACATTAACTAATATAAAACTAGCTATTCTTTGAAAGTTTGCCAGAACACTCAAAAACCACCATTTGGATCTAGTAAACCTTTCAGTGATGGGCCTTTGCCCTGTCAATTGCTTCTATGTTATTGATCTATATGAACAACGCTGCCCCTCCCCCAACCCTCTACTGCATTGTTTTCACGGCATTGCAGGTTCAGAAGACGTTATGCACTTTAGAACAAGGACTGTGCCTTTAGGCCCCTGGAGGCTCTGGACTCCCACTTCCTATTGAGTTCTCAGGTCCCATTTGCTTGGGCAGAGCCACCTTTGGTCCCAAGCAATGGGGATCCCGGGTTGTGGATGCCGCTTAGTCTCTCCAGCCCCCCGTCCCCCTGGGTGTGGGGCCTGCCCTCCCTCTCTTGAACCATGCTCAGGCGCTGGGGACCTGGGGACTCCCTGCCAGATGGCCCGGGGCTGTGAGGCCTGTTGGGTGCCTGCAGCGTGCAGACCTCCGTGCCCAAGCTTCACCCAGTGTGGCCACAGAGGGGGAGGTGCTAGGGGCTCCCTTTGTATTCTTGCTTCAGAGCCACACATGTGGCAGTGAGTCTAGGACGGGGGATGCTCTTTACTTGGGCTCAGAGGGTTAACTTTCAGGCGTGAGATAAAGGGGATGCTTTTGTTTCCTTTAGAACCTAGTATCCAAGTTTCCGAGCCCACCCAGATCCTAGGGAGCAGGATCTGAGGCAGCTGCAGAGGGCTGTGGGTGCGGGTGCAGGACATCGCGGTGGCCCCAGCACGAGTGTCTCCTGGGCCCTGGATGTGACGCAGGCGCAGAGCCTGAGGCTCCCTCACGTGTATGTTTACAAGACACAAATGTCTGCCCACGGGCTATTTATCGTATTTTGTTTACTGTTTTCTAGGCCAGGAAAGAAACCAGATGTGATATTACTGCTTCTCTGTCCAGATTTTCAACTGTCCTTTCTGGGGGTGGAGGAAGGATCTGATGGCCGGGAGGAAGAGGCAGGAAACGACGCCTGGGGCCCAGCCGGCCAGGAGCAAGGGACCCGAAGCAACACAGGAAGAACAATTCAGTCCTTTTTTTTTTTTTTAAATAAAACTCTCACATTTTTGGGAAATCTTTGCTCTCCCTACATAGTTACGATTACTTTTATAAGATTACTGGCCCAAAAGGCAAAATCTCTTCCAGTTGAAGCCCCACGCTGTCACTTTGCCCTGAGGCTACGGGTACTGGCTGGGGTTGCCAGCCACGGCCTTCACCTGGGGGGCATGGCAGGCTCAGAAGCGCAGTTCCCCGGAATACTGCCCATGTTTGCCTCATTTGCTCAAACCTGCCTTTCTCTGCGCGGGCTAAAGCCCCTAGGTCACAGCTTTGCTTCTCACGGACCAAGTGCGCTGGAGGGGCTTCCCCAGGTCGGGGTGCGGCGGCTCAGGAGGCCGGGGTGGGGAGGGGTCCCTGGGGAGGGGAGTGAGGCCAGGCCAGTGGGTTCCCACCCCAATGCCGGGCCTAGAGCGGACCTGCATGTCCTGCCCTGTGCTTGCACGTAGGCCACTGAGGCGTTCACAAGCAAAGCACAAAAACAAAGCTGCGCTTTTCCTGGAAACGATCAGCGTCTACACTGCAAGTGTTAGGAGCGACCTGGGGCCAGCAGCACCTGCTTCCTGCTCTCAGGTCTCCGTGTAACAGACACAGGTGGAGCACTGCGCAGCAGCCGGCTGCGGCAGGAGGCGGGGCTCAGGTCTGTGGCCCTGCGGGGGTCAGAGTGCGCCAGAGCGCCGGGCGCCGAGCCCCCAGGGAGCCGCTTCCGGGGCGGCGCTGGGGCGCCCCCTGCCTCCGCCTGCCTCACCCTGCTCCGGCCTCCCGCGCCTCGGCCCAGACGCCGGTTTGCGGTTCGCGGGAGTGGTTCTTTCCTTTTGAGCGGCATCATTTGCTTCATCAATAGGTTCGCTCGTCCTCAGCTGTCGAGTTCAAATCCCCTAAGTCTCCCTTGTATGGCTAGAACAACTGAGAGAACCTTCCTTACTCATTTACCTGAACGTTCAGAGGCAGAACTGGGGTCTGTACGGTGCCGACATGTGCAGTGTGGGGGACCTGTGAGGGTCACACGACAAAGTGGCCTGCCGTTGCATTTCTCAGAACGCATCCCGTCATCGAGCGACACGCGACTGCGCTTTATTCTAGCTCAGGAGAACACCCCCCCAGCACTCGTGCGGGCGCCGGCTCCACGCGTGAGCCCGGCATGCGAGGGGCGCCCTCGCCCGCGCGGCGGCGCCAGAACGCCTCTGGCGTCCACAGAGTCACCACACCCTTCGCCCACTTGTGTGCCGGGAGGAGACAAAACCTTGGCTTGCCGTAGAAATGCCTCTTCCATCAAGGAATCCCCCCCCTGGCTCTGAAGGAGGAAAAGCTACAAAGGAAACCTCGGAAGGCGAAACCTCAGGAGGTATAGGAAGGACCGTGGTCCGGAAAAGCCTGGGTCAGAACGTGCCCCGACGGCACCGTGCAAGAGAGCCCGGGCGCCTGCCGTCCAGCTGGCCGGTGGGTTTCTCCATCAAAAGGTGGTCTGGCCCCTGGGGTGAGATGGTGACAGTGGGGGAGGCTGTGGGAGGGTGAGGAGATGGGAGCTCTCTGCACTTTCTGCCCAGTATTTCTGTGAACCTAAATCTGCTCTAAAAATAAAGTTTATTAATTCTTTAAAAAAGTTATCAGGAAAGAACATCTATAGTCGTCAGATGTGATTAATAATATCAATAACTGCATTGTTACCAAAGAATACAATATTATTACAAGGTACTTACGAGTAAAGAACAATGCATAATATATATCTAATTTTTTAATGCTCAATATACAATCAATATGTTCTGATCAACAGTATAAACCATATAAAAGAGAACCCTGCTTTTCATTTGTACAAATACTGCTTTCATCATAGCAAAACTTTACACAATTAAAATGTACCACATGTAGCAGCTGGAAAGCTATGTAACTATTTCTAAAATGAAGTTATTGCTGTCCGCTGTTAATCAGTTATACCATCACCTGTAACACTGTCATCAAATGCATAGGATCTCTTAATTTCCAAGAGATTATATTATAGAGCAAGATTATTTTTGTAGCCAAATCAGGTCAACGGGGTTTCTTTTATTAAAATAAATAACTGCATCAGAAAACGTAAATGGAGTGTCGCCTGCCAGGCCACATGGTGGGGATTCTTAGCACTTCTGGTCATTTGGACAGGACAGATTTGCAACCTCAGAGGACCCACTGTGGTTGTGTAGCTATCCATGGAAGAAAAAACACAATTATTCGCTTTCATTTTTATGCCAGGTATAATTTGTGAAGAATGTATACAAAGTGTTGTTTTGGATTCTTGTTTTTATGAAAGCCATGAACCCCTTGTGCAGCCCTCTCCAGGTCTGCCCTGTGCAATGTGACTGACAGGCCAATGTTTTCTTTTATCCTGGGAAAGAAAGGTTATTGTAGGGAGGACAACAGTGTCGGCTGTGTAAGCAACAAGAACACTCACTATCTTTCTTTAAACTACCAGCCCAACTTTAATGGACAGAGAAAACTTGGGAAATAGGAAAGAGGTGTCTGTTTAGATTTCCTTTGCTTTTCATCGACTGGTTGGACACTCTCTCCTCTAGTGCTTGGGCAACCTTCGTGGAAACTCCGTCCAGGTTCCTGACTCTCTTTGTGGCCTACAGTTTTCTGGGCCTGGGAGTCACCTACACCTGCAGAATTTGCCTGGAAGTACAAGTCCCCGTGGCCAGCCCCTAGGCTGGTGGTTCTCAACTTTGGCTACATATTGCAATGACCTTAGGAGCTATAAAAAGTGCAAATACCTGGGTTTCACCCCTAGAGATCTGCATTTAATTGGTCTGCGGTGTAGCTGGGCTCCAAGCTTTCTGAAAGCTCCCCCAGTGATGTCATGTGCAGCCAGGGCTGAGAGACCCTTCTCTACGGTGGCCACGAGACTTGGCGAGACTGTTGGTGGATTTCATCAATATACCCAGTAACCAAGATAAGCTGAACATTATTGGGTCTCTCCAAATATTTCTAGTCTATATTGATAAATGCATATCAATTTGTAAATATAAAAATAAAATAATTTGCACTGAAATCACATTATATATGTAAACCGACAACATGCTGTATTATTGCTTTTCTTACATTGATAGGGTGACATTAGCAGACGATCAGAGCATGACACGCCGTTGGATTTTTCTAGCAGTGACAGCAGATTCTCTCTTTCCATCGACATTGCCCCAACAGACTCAACAGAACCTGCTTCGTACCAAGCTAAATGTGCTTTCCATCTTTTCTAATATCATAAATATAAAAAATGACAATTCTCCTCTTCACCATGGCAATAACCTGGCTTGGCTCCACAATGAGGTTGTACCTTTTTATAAGAGAGAGAAAGACTTTTCTCTTGCTTCAAGTTAACCCTTTTAAACAAAGATTTCAGTTCAAATTTGGATTCTATTGCAGTCTTTCTAAAGTTAACTGTGTTGCCTTTAGTAGAAAAATGAGTTTCCTAAAAATATACTTTACAAAGTTCAGTGCTACATAAAGAGGATGATATTCCACAAAAAAGTTACAAAAATAGATTTACATTTAAAAATGCTGTCTATGTGTTTAAGAGTACAAAGATGTATGCCCCTGGCATGGCAGGCATGGCTAGAAAAAGAGGCTGGGATTTCTGTTCAGAAAGACTCCACAGCCCCCAGGCAAGGAAATACAAACAACCCTTACGTTGTAATAAAACGTGTGCTTGTCACAAGAAAGTAATGCAGGGGAGACATCACGAGCAGTTCCACAGCTGCCACTCAGGAGGGAGCAGCTCGCTCATAAGGGGGTTTGTGTAACTTCTCAGAGAACGCAAAGGGTCTGAAGGCTTTATCGAGGTTCAGATTTGGGTATTTGCCACTTTCAGCATAAACCGCTGGTGACAATGAATTGGAGGCTTTTGGAACGGCCACTAGTGGCCACATTTCAGGCATATCAGTGATTGCAAATTGTTCTTTCCGCTGCACAGGGGAACCTCGTGGGGCACGGCACAGACCCACAGGCCTCTACAACTGAAGGGGACCTCGGAGGGGTCAGTTTCAACCCTGGCTGCCCAATGGAATCATGTGGGAGACCCTGAGATTCGGTTTGACCCCTACAGACCCCTGACCCTTTCTTTTGGAGCTGCCCAGTGGCTCTCGTTCGAGGTGAGGGTGAGCACAGCGGGTTCCACCATGCGCCAGCCTGGCCCCGTGCGTGGGAAGCAGAGGCTGGGGCCTAGGCCTGCCTGTACAGCAGAGGTTCCCTAAACGTTCCCACTCCTCAGAATACCTGGGGGTGCTCTGAAAAGTCCCTGCGCCCAGGCTGCACCTGAGAAAAATTAAATCAGAATCTATTGGTTGACACCCGGGACATTCCCAAGGGCAGATGGGCTTGAGAACCAGGTCCTTCTGTGCACCCCATAGTCTGTACATGTCTGCAGTTGGAGCAGGGGAGGCCAAAGCACAAGATTAAGAACTTTCAACAAATATCTGAACTGCGTCATCGCCTGGAACGCACTGTGACGCTGCCACCGTGCTCTTACGTATAAAATCAGTGGCAACCTGGGCGCATAGCAATTTTGGAATTTGAAAGGTTTGTCTCTTCTTTTTCCTTCAGAGGATGACAAGTGTTTCTCATGGGCTGTAATTAGAGGGCCTCCTCAGAGACTACGCGAGAAGGTGCGTGTGAGGGTCGCAGCCCACCGTGAAAGTCGGCTCCCAGCCCTGCACTTTCTGCGCCCTTGGCACAGGCCAGGTCCTGGGCCGGGCGGCGCGAAAGGCTTTGCGGGCGCCCGCCGAGGAAGAGACAGCAGGCAGGCTCTGTGGGGTCTCAGGGACTGGTCATCAATGAGCGCGGACCCAGGGGACGGAGAACAACGTGTGAGATGTGACCCTCAGGCTGTGGAGTGGAAGTGACGGGCTCAGGGCACCCCCTCCTGGCTGGGTCCTTGGAGAGGGTCCCTGGACAGAGGGAGTGAGAACGTTTTGGGAGACACGATCTTAAAATTAGTAGAATTTAGCAACTCAGTTTTATGCAGGAGAACTGAAATGTGAAGGAGAAGGAAAGAAAACTTGAATAGCTTCTGCTGTTTTATTGTGTTAAAGTGTTCCGAACTACAAAAATACTAGGATTTCATTACCACAATCTGACTGGCTTCCAACTGCCCTCCCTCATCACTCGTCTGCTTCTTGACAAAAAGTGACGGCAGAACGTGGGTCGTTCTGTCTCCCAGCTCTGACTACTGTGTCTTTACGTTCTGAGCGGAAGACACAATGCAAGTGGTTTTCTGGCAATGGCATGCTGTCTCGGATTCTTAGAACTATGTTGCTCAGTCTTCTTACTAAGCGTTTCAGAGATGAGAGCTCAAAATCCCCGATGCGGACGCGACGCTTTGGGAACTTGGGGGTGCCCCAAGCCTAGTCCCAGGCCTGAGGGGAGGGGCTGGTTAGGACGGCTGGACTCGCCTTGGGCTGTCAGTGGATCCCGGTCCGGCTCAGCAGCCGGGCTCACCGCTTACCTTCCCTCCTGGCTCAGCCCCGCCCTCTGCCAGGCCCATCTCCTGGGGGAGCCTCCGGGCCTCCCCAGGCAGAGCCCCCCTCCCTTTGTCATGCTGCTTCAAGGTTAGGATTTATGAGTCCATTTCCTTTGCTAAATTGTGAATTTCTCAGATTCAGGGATAATCTTTTATTTATTTTTGTAACTTTGGTACCTGTGCTGGGCTGGTATAGGTACTTAAGGGTATTTGAGAGTAGAATGGAATGGAATGAAATATAGTTTTATTTCCATTAAGACAAAGGTCAAATATTTTCTTAACAAAACTGTGGAGCCCCGATCAATCTACTTTTAAATTGCTGATTTAAAAGCAAAGGGAACAGTTGTATGTGTGTGTGACTGAGCCTATCTGTAGGCTGAAAACTGTGTGTGCAACATTTCTTCCTTGATAAGCTGGACAGGGTAGATATTGACTAGGAGTGTTTAAAACATTGTTTACAGGCGCTGCTAGCCAATCAGGTTGCAGAGACACACACAGACCAGGAAAAGAGTCGGGATCCTCCAGCTACAGGGGAATTATTTCAGGAGGGAATTTCTTTTTCTTCTAAAACATCTGAAGATGTTGCGAAAGTATTATCAATTTCAAACTCTACTTTTGTATTGATCACTTGAATTCCACGATATTCATAATGCTATTTTTTTTTTTTTTATTGCCAAAATGTGCCTGCTCTGGCCAGGGCTGTAAGTTCCTGAAGAGTTGCTTCAGGGCCTAGACACCTTTTTAAAAAGGCAGAGGGGCGGTCTGGGGGCCGCTGCCCAGGGAGGAACACATACTCTTGGAGTAAAAACTTTTAAAGGAAAAGGAAAAGAGAAAATTATCTTCTATGAGTAACCTAAACTAATATTTGGGGGTTGGGTGGGGAGGACTAAAGGAAATTTAAGAGCAGCTTCGTTTTTGTAGTCTCCTGATACATGCCCCCCAAAACTTGACGCATTTCATCTGAGCCTCAGATTTAGTGGATATGTTGGTACATTAGCATTTTGCATTATTGTTCCATCTTGATTAAAGGCCATTGGTCTGAATGCTGGGAACCAAATGTGGGCTGGAATCTTTTGTTATTTACTGTACCGTCTTCTCTTGCTGACTTCATGACAGCAAGACAGGGAAAGCATACTGAGTGTCAAAGCAACGGAATGGAAAATGAACAAGTAAGTCCAATACTCATAATTAGAAAACACCCGTCAACCAGTGGGGACTTAGTACCACAGAGACATTTACACAAAATAAGTCCAAGGAAGAATTCTACCCCCTCCATTTCTTCTTCGTCCAGGAAGGGGCCAAGTGGCGTCTCCTATTGTACCTGCCATGACTCGACAGAATACCCACCGGGCCTGCCTGGGACGTGGGGGACTCCTGTGTATTTAGTCGTCTTGCAGCATGACAGTGCTGAAGCAGAGCCCACAGGGCTGAGTGTCAGCGGGAAGACTGGTGGCCCATGCTCCTTGGCCACGGCTGGGCCTGGATGCGCTCTGCGCAGCAAGTGCTGCCAGCAAGCTTCTTCCTCGTCGGAAGAGTCATTAAAATCAAAATCAGTAATGACAATTAAAAATCCCAAAGGTCCCCAACCAATAGAAATCCTTATATATATTCGCTTTTTCCTAAATATGCCTCACTTAAAGGTAAACTTCTGCTCAAAGAGACAACATTCTTGCCGGGTGCCTTTTTGTGGAAGCTTCACAGTTGAAGACAAAGGAATGTACCTGCAACTTCCCAAAGAGCACTTAAGGGGCACTTCCTGGCTGAAAGAGGGGCCGGTCAGCGCAAACGTGGCGCTACCAGTCCGTGGATCCTGGAGTGGGTGTGGGCATGGCTGTCGGGCTGGAGTGGCTGCCGGGGCTTGGTCCTGGGTGTCTGCAGTCTGGGGTTTTATGGCTGATGCTATCCTCCGTGGTCATGCTCCAGTAAATTCCCTGCTTGGTGGCGCTACCCTTAGGTACTCTGCATTTTCAGCCGCAGGGCCCTTGAACGTGCCGTTTGGCTTGGCTTCCCTGGGAAAGAAGTCCTGCTGGTAGTCGGGGTTGTCCAGGCTGATTTGGTGGGTGCCCCTCTGGGCCCAGTGTGCAGTGCTGTCGAGTGTACTGCTGACGCAGGAAGATTGGGTGGTGTTGAGATACTCGGGGTTGTCCACAGCGGTGCTGTGGGGGTTCTGGTAGTGTGGGTCCCTGCCAGGAGCTGGGTTCAGAGGCTGGTTGTGGTAGACGGGGTTCTGCACAGAGCCTGCGGGCCTTTTGGGAATGCATTGGTTTATGTATTCTGCAATTGAAAAGAAATCAGAGGTGAAGTAATCAGCAAGGCATCACCCCAGCAGGATTCCAGGGCTCATCTGGACCCTGCACGTGTCTCCAGAGAGGCACTGAGGACGGAGGGCGGGGCCACGGAGACTGGCACCTTGCTGGTGCTGCAGAATAGACCATGTTCTTTCCGTGCTTCTCAAAGTGATGCACACATGTATGCTTTGCAAATTTAAAGTTCTCAGAGGACTGCCTGCCTTCAGGGCTGTGCATGGGTGTGCATGCGTGTGTGTGTGTGTGTGTGTGTGTGTGTGTGTGTGTGTGTGAAACCAGGTTAGGGTGTCTTGGGATAAAGCTTAGATTAATTAAATATGCATTTCACAGGTCAAGAATGGAGCAGGGGGAGAGCAGGGATTGAATCTGTCACACACACACACACCCTCCGGTGTGGTTTGCTTCGAATTCTAGAAAATATGCAGACTCGTTCTTCCGACAAACCTGCAGCTGACAAGGCAGACACAGTGAAGCCCCATGCGCTCAGCAGTTCTGTGTCGCTCGGCTTCCCGCCCCTTCACCAGTCTGCAAACCTGCCACAGGCCAGGCCCCAGCTTAGCTGGGAGGAGGCATCCAGGGGGCAGACTGGCTGCTGCAGGATGGGGTGTATCTGTTTCCAGGGAAAGCACTCACCGGGCACTGGGAGGAAGGTGTCGTCCATGCTGTCCTCGGTCAAGGCGCCGGTGGGGTCTGAGCTGTATCGCTGCAAGAAGCTCTCTTCCTTGATGGGACAGCTCTGCTGAGGAGGAAAGTAGGCGAGGTTACTCCAGTCAGGGCTGCTCAAACATCAATGTGAATAAAAATCACCTGCAATCTTGTTAGAATGCAGGCTCTGACTCAGCAGGTCTGGGGCAGGCCCAGATTCTGCCTCTGCTGCCGGACCGCAGACCGCAGACCGCAGACCGCAGACCGCAGACCGCAGACCGCAGCCAGGCGCGGGTCAGCGCTGTCCACCAGAACTCTCCGCAACCACACACTTGTTCTATGATCTGTGCTTTGCAATATGGGAGCCACTATGAACACTTCAAATGTTTGAGGACCTGAATTTTATGTTTTATTTAATTCTACGTAATTAAAATTTAAGTAGCCACATGTGGCTAGTGGCTTCTTCGCTGCGTAGCGCAGGTCTAGAGCAGGGCTTCGTGCACCAGCACGTATCAGCACCACCTAGAAGTCCAGCTCAAACACAGGGTACTGGTGCCACCCCCGGAACCCAGCTTTGGTGGTGACCTGGGAATCTGCGTTTCTAAAAGCTGCCAGGTGCTCCTTGGCTGCTGGTCCATGAACCACACTTTGAATGACACTGTGACATGTGATAGCTGATTGCTGGCCCTAGTGCAGAGGTCAGGGAGACCATGCGGGGAAACCCATACAAGAAGAAAATTCCGAATTATCTGGGTTGAGGGGGCACTTTCTGGGTATCACACAGCCATAATGCAGAGTCGTTGATTCTGGTTTCTGAGGTGCCGTTCATACTTACCCCGTTTCTGTCGACGCAAGCCGCGGCGGAACTGTTGCTGGCTGCGCTCTGAAAAAGCAACAGAGAAGTCGCACGTGGCGCACCTGCACGTCCCACCTGCTCCCTGACGCGGGCACGGGTCTCATGGGTGGATACACTGAAGGCACGCCCTTTTTGTCTTAATCATTAGCTTTAGAAAACTATAATTGGTTTAGTTTTGATTTAATTCTGTTCCTTAGCAGAACCAAAAGGATTACAATCAAGTTGCTGCAATGCAATGAAACAATTAACACACTTACTTGATTCACTCTGATTCTGGCTTTACCATTTGGTTAAATTTGGTTAAAATTGACGTCTTTGTCTCCGTGCGAGTGCCGCTAGATGGTTTCTCTAAAACTCAACTTGCTCACACCAGTAGACACAGCTTGAGAGAGGGAGAAAGACTCCGTACCAGAGAGCTGAGGAGGGGGGTCCGGGACGTGGAGGGGCTGTGGAAGAAGCCCTGCTGTGGGATGAGGTACTCGTCAGCGTCCACGACATCCTCCATGTCCTCCTCGTCCATCAGGGCGCGGTAGAAATTGGAGTCTGTGGGGCTCGGCAGATGCATCCGTTCGTCCCCCTGGTGCAGAGATTTTGAGACCATGAGAAAGGCCCTGAAGATGCCAGTCCCCTTCCGGGCTACAGGAGCTGGGCCTACTGTCAGCAGGGGTCTGCGAATGCCAACGTCATAATAAAATCCCCCACTTCTCCGAAGCACAGCTGCTCCCCCCATTGCGCCAGGGTGCCGCAAAATAAAACATCCACCCTTCTCTGATGTCTGAAAGCTGCCTGGGAAATGCAAACCGCTTGGCAGGCACCGGAAGGGAAGGCGCAGCGCCACTGAATGAGTGTGCGCCGTGCTGCTAAGCGCTCTGAACGCGCTCTGCGTGTGTTACTTCCCTGAATCTTTGAGAAAACCCCGTGAGCTTGGCTTTGGCACTCCCAGCTGTGGAAGGGGATGGCTGCCGGGTTGCCTGAGGGCGGTCGGGGCAGTGGGGAGTCAGATGTGAAGCCAGGTGTGCCTGCCACCAAAGCCCTGCTCCTCCACCGGACGTGCCGAGGCTTTGGCCTCTGAAACATGACGGTGACACGCGGGCTGGGTGTGGGAAGACTGCGTCTGGCCAGGACAGTGCGGATGGGAGGGCGACATGGAGCTGTGGGCACCACTTCTGGACCCCGCTGGGCTCGCAGTGTGGCCCGTGTCTTAACCGAGGCTTGCGCCATTGCCGCAGGGGGTCTCGCATCGGGACCTGGGACGCAGGAGGCTGGTGAGCGCGTGCGGAGCACAGGGACACGCGAGGCTCCTCAGAGGGACTGTCCCCATGGAAGGGCAGACCCGGGCTGTACCTGGATGACAAGGTAGCGCTGGGGGTCTCGGGCCATCTTGGAGAATTCAATGATCAACTCACGGAACTTGGGGCGACTGTCCGCATCTATCATCCAGCCTGGGGAAGGAAGGGGAAAGACAGTGCCATCAGAACCCGGGAGAAATGACAAAGATGGCATTGCTCGGAGAAGCCTGACGAGATGCGGTCCTTTCAGACAAACAGGTGAGGGAGAGACCGGATCTCTGTGGCAGGCATTACAGGGTAACCACTTTTAAACAGTGGGTGCTGCTCAAAGACCACGTCAGCACCCTGCATTTGACCCAGAATAACAGTAGCATCCTCTAACTTGTCCAGACCCCTCCTCGGGCCGGCCCTCCTGTGGTGGGGACGCCGCGCGTGGGGGCACGGTCACTCTGTGAGCTGCTCTGACTGCGGAGCCGTGTCGAAGCCCTCGCTCGCCCTCCGCATGCTTCTGGGCTGGAAACCAGGCTCAGTTTAGAGAGACGTAAAGGCTTTAAAGGACCTGGGGTTTGGGCCCACCCTACCCTGGCGCGACACAGCCCCTGGCCATGCACGCACGTGAGCGCCGGCTGTGTCGGTCCCTTCCCTGGGAGGATGCCTTTGGTAGCTGCTCGAGTGCGTCTGACTGCACAACAATCCAAGCCGGGATTAAACAAGCTGAGGAACAGCCACCGACTAGAGAGCCTCGTGCCTCTCGAGGGTTCGCATTTATTTTTCATCAGCAGGATGTGAAGCTATTTTAGGCCAGACTGCTATGTGACCTTCGACAAATCACGTGACCTCCCTGGATGCCAGCTTCCTCAGCCCAAACCAAGGAAATCAAAATAGATTAACTCTGTGCTCCAGAGTTCAGGAAGGCACTAATATTTACATTAACTGGACTCTGTAATATTCCCAGCGCTCGTTCTTGTGCCAGTGCTCATCCACACATGCGATGTCACCTTCAGAGCTACTGCACTGTGATTCTGGTGGAGCAACATCTATCAAATTACACACTCGTATTTGGATTAAAATGTTTAAATGCCACACTGCAGAAGACCTCACAAAAATCCACTGTTTGAAAGGTTTAAGTCAAAGCAGAAATGTTAATTCTATTACTCACAGTTAGGCATTTAACAACATTCCGTTTCTGTGGTAACAGGCTTCAAGACATGGGGTGGCCTGGTATTTCATTGAGCAACTCAGAGAATAGAATATGTTGGCGTAATGGCTTACGAAAGACTTTGATTTTACTGATTTGCTTGCAAACATGGGCAAATGTTAGGTCACCCTGCTCAATGAGTCCAGCATGTGCTTTTTGAAGAATGTCTGAAGGGGGTCTTTACAGAAGTTTCTGGACTGGTGTCCCTGTCTCAAAGAATGGGAGACATTTCTCCAGGGAATCGAAGGCCTCGTCCGGCTGAAGGCAGCGGTGCCTTGCAGCCCCCTGCGGGCGGGGCCTAGCTGGGCGAAGGCGGGGGCCCACCAGTCACTCACACTTGACCATGATCATGTAGACGTCGATGGTGCATATGGGCGGCTGGGGAAGGCGCTCGCCCTTCTCCAGGACGGAGGAGATCTCGCTTGCAGGGATCCCATCGTAAGGCTTGGACCCAAAGGTCATCAGCTCCCAGACGGTGACCCCTGAGAGGATGAAGTGTGAGTCAGGAACAGTCACAACCCTGTCTTTAGTCATCATTGCCGGCTACTGTTGCTTAATGTTTAAAACCTGTGTTTCTGTACACTTGGGTACTTGTTCGATGCCGGAAGCCTCAGTTTCCCTCTCTTAAAAGTGGGATAATAACCGTATCTGTCTCACAGGTTGGCTGCGAGGATCCATTAAGATAATACAACTAAAAAGTTTAGCACGATGCCCGGCTGGTATTATGGTAAGTGACAGATAAATGGTGAACTTGAGAAATCACAGTAAAGACAACACTGACGCTGGTGACACGAGTGTCACTGTGCTACGGGGCGGGAGCCCCTCACGTCTGCCCGGAGCGACGGTACCCGTGGAAGTGGAAAGATGGATTCTATGTGTTTTTAAATCATAAAGAAATTGGAAACAAAAAGGCTTATGTTCCTCTTGATAAACATAAAAACCTCATTTTAAATTTCAAAATTGACCAACTATCAGGATCAAAAACAAATGAAAGCAGTGGAGATCTTAGAATAGTGTCTTTTTGGATGAACCCCGAGCTGCGCCTCCCCTGGCGGGAGTCTCTGCCCAGCAGCCTCCTCCCGTGTGCAGGGTCCCGGGGACGTGGCTGGGTCCGGACACGGGTTGGCAGGTGTTCTGCAGCGACCCGTTTTCCTCCGACCTGGCCGACCTGCTTGGTTTCCCAGAGGCCATTCCAAACCTGAACGGCCGGGATTCGCACACAGAATGCAAGGTGGCGACCGCAGCAAGGCAACGGCCCCGGGGCCAGAAAAGAGGATGTTGCGGGATTCTTCTTCTGTCCCCTGGCCCCGGCCCCGCCCGTGCCCGGTCAGCATGGACTCGGTGAAAGAAAGGCGGCCACTTCCAGGTCTACAAAGTTGGGTACCTCTTATTTAACGAGGTTTCTGAACAGGTACAATTAATTCCAGTGGGAAGGCAGGATTTTTAGGTTTTGGAACAAATGGTGACAGGAGAAGGACGTGTGTGGGGTGGCGGGCAGGGAGAGGCCTGGAAGGCGGCGTGAGCTCGCTCCGACCCCTTCGTGGAGCACACTAGGTCCCTTGTTTAATAAAGTGAGCATTTTGCCTGGACTGGGACTAGACAGTAGAGAAAGCAGGGTATGATTTTTAAACTAGAAATTCAGGCTCATGGTCTAATAATTCCAGTGAGCTGCCGGAAATTATAATCTGTTGTGACAACAAGACCTTCAACGATCACTCTAGGGATGCTACGTCCTGATATCAGTTGTGATCGTTCAGAGACATGAAGTCACTGGATTCTAGAGGGTTTTCCTTTATTCGACAGGCATGGACAGCAGGACCGTGGCTGGCTGCCGCCCGGAGTGCGAGGGGAGGACGAGCTACATGGGAGGGGACAAGGCCTCAGAAGAGCTTCGTTTCCTTGTCTAGCTCATCAACTGAGGCAGCTCAGCTCCCAGGGACATATAAAAATTCACATATTCATTCATGGGCAAGGATCTCTGCTTTCGTAAATCTAACATTCTAACAGAAAACATAAAGACTTGAGAAATTAAAAAATACACTTGTATTTGGAGTATTATAAAGTTAATGATGCTACAGGAAAGAGAAAAGACTAAATGGACCCGATCTAAATAATTTTGCTTTTGTACTACTGACTAAATTCCTCTTGGAAATGCCTTTCGACAGCGCTCTGCTCAAAGTCACGCTCGGGGAGGCGGCGCCTCTCCCTTTGCGGCGCGCCGGGAGGGCCGGGCACCGGGCACTCTCCGATAGGGGTCGTGGATGAGGCGTTTCCCAGCCTCTCAGCAGCAGGTCGCAGAAGACCCAGCGTGGTGGCCCAGAGCACACGCCTGCCGCGCACTCAGCCACACTCCCCAACAGGGCAGGTCCCTTGGGCTCAGGACAAGGTGGGGACATGACAGTGTGCTTGGGAGAGGGGCAGCCCGTGAGGACGGAGCTTGAGCCTGTGAACAGCCACGCCGGGATTTGGACGGGGACCTGGAGAAGGGACCCTATGAGAGCGAGAAGCGATAATTAGGGTCTACCTTCCCCGCGGCATGTGTCAAGCCATTTCCCGCAACACACCAAGACCACTGTCACCGCGTGCTTCCACAGCCACCGAGTGAGCTCCTCACAAACCTCGGTTCTCCACCACAAAACTCGTCCCATAAAACCGCCTTCGCCATCTCCCTGTGGTGCACTTTAAATTCACGGTGAGAGGTCGAGTCCGGTTTGATCTCGCAGGCACAGGCATCTCCTACGTTCATGTTCTCTCTCCCTCCCACGACCCGCTCTCTCTGCCAGCCAAGGTCACCAATATCCCCAGTGACGGAGAGTCCGGCAGTTAGATCCAGCTTCCTTTGTGTGTTTTCTCAGTGCGACAGACAGACAGCAACTGTTACATTGTCATTAGTCACTACCTTGAAAGACAGTATTTGCACGTCCAGGCATTCAGTGTAAATTAACTAACAGTAAGAGTCACCCTGGAATCAGACCAAGTCCGGCAGCGTCAGGATTCCAACTCACCGTAGCTCCAGACGTCGCTCTGGTGGGTATAAATCCGGTGTAAAATCGATTCTAATGCCATCCACTTGATCGGCACCTTGGGATGACGAGAGACGAAGCAATGAAACAACCATTAGCTCCCCACCACTGAAAATGAGTAATCACCCTGGGCCTAGTTGCCAGTGACAAACACGAGGAGGCCAGGCCACTTGCCGGCCACCCCAGGCCCAGCTCTCCCTCCCCGGCAAGAGGGGATGTTAGACGTGGCAGCTAAGGTCCCTCTGGGCTGTGGCTGCTCAAGGCCCCCGCCCCCCCGCCCCCAGGACTCCTGTGTGTTCAGGGCCAGTGTCATGGGGTTGGTTGCTGCTTGGAGCCAAGCAGGCTGGGGTGAAACTTCAGAGGAAGGGCATCTGGGGGCCTGACGGGGACGTGCACCCCTCACTGGTGTGAGAGGCCCCTGTGGAAACCCCAAGCCAGACAGAGAGAAGGGCCAGTCCTGAGTCCCAGAGACCCTGGGAGCTCTTGGAACCCACGGGAACTTTCCACCTGTCTGAGATGTCCTCAATAGCAGGGTGCCACCAAATTAGCTGTGACCTTTCCCAGCTGTTCTTTTGAAGTGTGCTTATATCCTGGGGGGAGGCTGACACCTAACCTTTGCTAACGATCACCTGGTGATGATCACTTACTCCCACAGCAGCTCTGGCTTGCACTGCCAGAGGAGACCCAGCTAGGCCAGGTGTCGGTGGCGGCTGCTGCCACCTCACCCAGAACGTTCAGCGAACCTTACGTCAGTTAGAAAACACGGCCAACAGGTAGGGAGCCCGGCCCCCAGTGGCAGGCAAGTGCTCGCAGCCCTACGAGCCAGCCCCTTACTTTGCCCCCCTCCGCGTGGTACTCTTTCTCCTCGGCACCCAGCAGCTTGGCCAGCCCGAAGTCTGTGATCTTGACGTGCTGCGGCGTCTTCACCAGCACGTTCCTGGCAGCCAGGTCACGGTGCACCAAGCGCCGGTCCTCCAGGTAGTTCATGCCCTGAAATGCAGGGGCGGGCTGATCCCAGTGTTGCAGGAAGGAGGTGCTCAGCCCCAAACTCCATGCCGTGCCACGCCAGGCTCTGAGCTTCTCCACATCAGGGACTACACTTGAGTCCCTCTTTGCCCTTCACCCGACAGGCACAGTAACGTGCCCCTGGCAAATGTCAGCAACTAACTATGGAACGAATGGAAAGGCAAATAAATGAAGCTGCAACTAGCTGCTGGTCACGAACTCTTCTCCCCCAGCTCCTCCAGTTACGAGCCCGGGGCGCCAGGCAGGAGAGGGCAGTGAGGAGCAAGAGCTCTGCCCGGCTGAGACCTGGGCCCGGCTTGCTCTCGAGCTCTCGCCCCACCTGCGCGTTTCCTTCCTCCTGCTGAGTCTGTGGGTAAAGCAGGGAGGCCCTGCTGACCGCGCCAGGCTGCGGCGAAGGGCCGTCTCTCGGTGTTTTTATGCCACTCTTATGTTGCCTTCTTGGATTCTCTTATGTGGTTCACTGCTGATGAAGATTTTTGTCCAGTTTTACTTCTGCTATTGTTTTTTCCTCAACTGAAACCACATGGATATTGACTGTGCTCTCACAAGGCACCATTCCCCTCCTCTCTGGCTGCCCTGCCCCTACGATCTTGCTGCAAGCGGAATCTCTGCTGCAAGCGCAAGCAGGAAACGCTACCTGGGAATTCCTAGAAACATCGCCCTGAACCTTGCCCACAGGCCTCTGGCGGCCGCAGCACAGACCTTCCTCCCTGCTGGCCCTGCCCCTCCGCGCACAGTGGACCGGCGGACCACGGCTCCCACTCTCTTCAGGGCTGGCGCCTGTGACCCCGCGGCACAGCGTCAGCACCACGGAGACGCCCCCGCTCTCCTCCAGCATTCTTACAGCTAGGGAGGGTCTCCTTTCTGGTGCAACTGCAAAAAATACTTGTGGATAAGAAGGCAGATTCCCAAATTTTCTGGCAAATTCTTTGCTCCTTTTTGCACAGATATTACCTGAAAATTATTAGTTGACTTGGCATATCAGAGTGAAATTTTTCTTTCTAGAGCAAAACCAGCCATCATATGAAAGAAGGATCTCACAAAGATGCTATCAGGAATTAGCCTTTGAGTGCCATTTTTAAGGCCTTTAATGTTTTTCTCTCTTGCAGAAGAGACGATTGCTGGCCACGTCTCCGGTACACACGGACTCTCCCCTTCTCCCCTGCGTGACTGAGAACGCTCCTGAGTGTTTAAGACACTGTTTGAGTTAAATGCTTCCCTTCCTAAGGTTGCTTGTGTGCCAAGAAATAAGGCTGAAGGGGCTTGTGCCTACTCAAGAGGAACAGGCTCTTCTCTGGACAGCACTTCCAAATTAGCCATCACCACGGGGGTGGGGAGGGAGAGGGAGGGAGCAGCTGAGGAAACGCTTCCAAACAGGGACTGACTCACCACTCCGCTCTCGGAAGCACAGACGCTGGCTGCGTTCTGTGCTTTGTTCCCGTCTCTCACAGAGAGTGAGACCTCTACTTAGTGAATACGATGGCGTCCCACCCATTCAAGAAGGTTCATTATGCGTGGCCTCCGCCTGGTTACGCCGGACACCTGCATTCCTGCTGCGTCAGCTCACGGGGCCTCTCTGCCCTCCCCCTCCCCTGTCCCTCTGTCCTCTCCCACCCTTCTCTCCCCTCTCCATTCGCCCTGTCTGCTTCACTCAGGCTTCGTGCGTGCGCAGGCTCCATTGTGGCGGGTGTCGTGCAGGCGCTGCGCAGAGCCACAGTCATCGGCCACATGTATGTCCCTACACAGGGGACCCACGGCCTCTGTCTTCCCCTCCCTTTATCCAAAATGTGTGGTTTCTATAAGTTCATTAAAGCCACAGGGAGGACTTCAGAGGGCATTTCCAGCTTCATTTCGTGCCTAACTTTCATTCTGCCTCTTCGTTCGTGCTTAACTGAGAATCTGGCACATGGGACACATTTTTACAACAATTTGTTGAAAAAATGAGTTACTGAGTGCATGAATGAATAAGTGGCAATAGCAGGTGACAGTTTTGAGCACTGATGACGTGCCAGCCATTTCAGATGCCTCTGTGGAGAAGCCTCTTTCTGTCCTGGCAGCCACATGACTGCCTCATTAGGTCCCCCAGGGTGTCCAGAAGCCGCCCACATCGCTTCCCAGACCAGACCCTCGGCGCCCCCAAGACCACCCCCGGGACCCCGGCTTCCACTCCCCTGCGGGGCCAGAGGCTTGGGTTCTGCTTGGGCTGCAAAACACACACACACACACACACACACGAACATACCCCCCACACACATACACAAACACACATACACACACATACATACACATACAAACACACACACTTATCCACATACACGCACGCATACACAAATACACACAAACACACAAACAGACACATACATACACACATACACACACATACACATACACACATGCACATACACACATAAACACACACATACCTACACATGCACACACATACACACACAAACACATGCATACACATACACATACCTACATATACAATACACACAGATACAAACACAGAGTCTCATACATAAACGCACACACACACACTCATACATGTACACACATTACACACATGCACACAACACACACACACACACAATCCAGCGCCTTGGCCCTGTGCCGCTGCGAAGTCTGCGTCTTTGTGTAAATCTAATGAACGCAGCTGAGCCACGCCCCAGCCCCTCGCTCCCCAGGCCCAGGGCTTTAAAGGACCAGAGTGACTGCCACAGGGCGTGAGGTCTTCAGGGAGGGCCTGGGACGGGGGAAGGAGCGGTCTATGTTCTGGAGCGCACAGCGAATCGGCCCGAGGGTCTTCAAGCAGAGATAATTTGGGGACAAAGAGATCAGGCCCATTTGAACTCAGACAAAACTGCATTCCCGAGTCTCTGTCCCACACTAACAAGGCAGTTGCAAGGCCATCACAGCGCCCAGCACAGTTATCCTTTAACCAGTCACCACAGATAAGAGCTGCGATATCGCGCATGAACTTCTGAACGTAAACAGAGCCACAGGAAGTCGTATCAGCGCGAGCTTCAGTGCAGCCTCCTGGGAAACCCATTTCCTGATTCTTCTCTGAGATCCTCACTTTAATTGAATTTAATGTGTTTATTTTGTTAATGACTACGGGAAAGCTAGAATGAATTCTGAGGTTAAAAGGGAATTTGAAGAGCCAACCCACAACTTTTACTTACAAAAGAAGGGCACAGGGATATGCCACACACGGGTATTAAAGACTCTCCTGGCACAGTACTCTCCAGAACAAGAAAGGGCTGGGGGTGGGGCTGGGTGTTCCCAGGCCTGCAGCATCCTGCAAGTCTTGGGAGGGTTCAGAGAGAGAGGCTGGAACGGGACCCATTCCTGCTCTATTGTATAAACCGCCAAGTGGAGGAGCCCGGTGAGCACCGGCTTGGTGCAGAAAGGACAGGAAGGAGGACGCGGAGGGCCGGCAGCTGGTTTTGGAGGCGGGAAGTCAGTGGTGTGGCTCACCCACCATGGAGCCCTCGCCCTGGGAAGAGGCAGAACCGCGTCAGCATTTCTTGTTCCCAGGTAGGGGTGGCGTGGTGCCAGCACCCTGCTGTGTGGGGAGGGAAGGGCCCTGGGATCCTGTCTTGAGAGCGGGACTCTGAGCTGTGGCATCCATGCAGGCCGAGAGGGTGGGCTGGGGAGCAGGACGCCTGGGTTCCCGTCCTGATTTTGCTGCTTACTAGCTCGAGACCTTGGCAAATGACTTAAGCATCCCATGCCTCAGTTTCCTCATGTGTAGAAGGGGCTAATCAGAGGGTGGAATGAATTCATCCATGCAGAGCACTTGGTTGGTGCCCATGGAGAGTCCTGCATAGGTGCCAGTGACCGTCACCGCCCCTCCTGAGTGTCAGATCCACCCCTCTGCTCCATTCCTTTTGCAGTGGCCTTGTCTTTGGCCACCGTCTCGTCTTGCCTGCACTACTGCAGCACTCCTAAAAACATCTGCTGGCAAATACATTCCTGCACGGCGCCCTGGCTTTTGTGATGAAGGCTCCATCTTCCTGGCCTGGCGGGGTCCACCCCTCCCTCGCCGCCACGCCTGGCTTGGAGCGCCTTGACCCACTGCTGGGGCCCCAGGACAGGGCACGGCCTGTCGCACTGCTTGGTCTGCAGGACTCGGGGCTCTCGAGGACAAGGGGCTGCCTGGCGTGTGCACCGCTGTCCTCCAGAGACAGGCTGAGTGCATCCGGCCGCTGAGCTGTCCTCCCTGAGACTGGCATGTGGTCTTCCAGGCAGCTAGCCCTCCTCGCCCAAGCTTGCCTGCTCTGACCTCTGACCTCTGACCCACTTCATTCCCCACTGCACCGTCAGCTCCACATTCATTGGCGAATTTTGGGGGATAAGAAATTTTGTCTGGCTTACATACGTATTTCACCTGAGCTTAACACTGGCAGATTAAATGCTCAAGAAATAACTAAGTAAAATGTCTAAAGGTTGATGAATATGCTCCAACAACACCACAATTTTGGCTCTGTAGTGATCATTTAGGTTGAATAATTATGTTTAGCTGCAATCCTTTGTAGAATTTGCCAGAATAAATACAAATAATTCAAATACTGAGATACCTGGTAATTGGACCAGTTGTCTGCTCTCTGGCCTACCTATTGTCTTATTGGTGGTCGCAGAGGTACTTACAGAGCCACTGAGCTACCACCCTGGGGCCGCGCCTCGCACTCTGCCTGCCTGAATCCTGCTCTGCAGATGTAAGAGCCGTGGGGCGGGGGCTGACCCGGGCGGTGAGGCCAGAGCCCGCTGGGAGCTGGCAGGAGGTTGGACATCAGAAGGGGCATAGAAGCAGCCAGCTCTGGTCTCCAGGAGCCTCTTTAGACCAAGGGACAGTGGCTTCTTCAGTTCTTCGTCCAGCGTGATGGTCACTCTCTCACACCCCTACTCATCCATTACGACGTGAACACATCATGATTCATCAACATGGATTTCCCGGCACGGCCCCGGCTCCAGCAGAGTGGAATCACCTCCCTTCCCCATGTCCGCACGTGACAGCCATGGCCGGCTCGGCCCGTCTTCACCCCTGCGCCTGCTAGCAGCACACGTGCACGGACAGTTCTCAGCAAGTGTGAGCGATAAAGCACTCGGGCCTCTGCAGGCAACTCGGACCAAACCAAGTATCTCAAGTACTTGAAAAGGGATCCTTTGAATTTTTTTATGTTCATCCTGATTAAGTTTTATCTCACAGCCTGAACTGACTGTAGTGCTAACTGTAGTGATGCTGTAGTCAGAGAATGACACCCACAGACCAGTTTCTGCCCGAGAGCCCCTCCCACCGTCGCTGTGGTTCACCAGGCCTGGGCTCCAGGACGTATGGCATGGTCTGCTGTGCTGCAGAACCAGATCGGTTCTGTCTCAGCCCAGTGCTGTCAGACTGTAATTGGGGTTAGGTGACAGGGAAGCTCTGTTGTCTGAACAGTTTGGGAAAATGTTAGAGGAATTGCAGTCTGAACAGCAGGGCTTTGCACTGGGAGGCTCTTGGGGGAGGAGGGTGCAGCAGGGTTTCCGAACTGCATTGGTGAGAGGATCTTTTAGGTTAGAACACAGCAGGGCATTACTATGCTATTTAATATGTTTTGGGATGGACTAGCTGGCTTACACACCCAGGAAGAGTAGGTGTACTTTCTTAAGCAACTAACATAGTTCCCACGAGTGAAAACTACCCTCGGGCGCACGCGTCTTCCTGGTCAGGGAGCAGTTATGTGTCCACAAGCTCCCGACACCTAGTTTCTGTATGGAGGACGGAACCCCTTTTCACCAGAGAGGGCAAGGGGTGACTCCCTTAGGGTCTATGGTCCCACCCTGCATTTCTCCCCAGGCCACCCCTGTTTTTTTTCTTTTCTTTTAACTTTTGCCCAGTTGATATAATTGCATTCATCCTCTCAGCAGTGCAGGCGGGACAGTGAACTTGCGCAGCGGTGGCAGCTCTCCCATCAGTACTTAGAAGCCTCCTGAGAGAGTCCCTGTCTTTGGGAATCAACACTGGACATTTATAAGTCAATAAATCCCACTTTGAAAATGCCAGGAGTTTCGTGTCTTGTCAGCCACTGAGTGTTTCTGGGTAGTTTCACTTCAAACTTTTAAAAAGAAAATTGTTTCATACCCAGATAAAGTATAAGTAACAAGAGTAAATTTCTCCCTTTACAATCTGGGAAACCTCATTTTCCTTCTCTCCAGGGACAGACACTCCATCGCCGCAGCCATCCAGATACAGTGGAACGAGTTTCTCTCGTGAACTGAAGAGCAAATCTAGCAGAGACACAGAGTTCAATGCCTGCAATGCGAAAGGGCTTCGAAATGAGGCTAAGCTAAGTGCAATAAGCACACAGTGTAAATCACAGGTTGAAACTGTGAGTAAATATTATATCGAAGACCATCTTGGAAACTTTCAGGCCCTGGAAACTCAAACTCAGGAACTCAGGTAACTCGTGCTTGAAAGGGCCCCACACTAAGCTGAATTCTGCTCTGTAGCAGAATTGTTATATAAGGTGGTTTTTTTTCCCATCATGCTTGTAGAAGGCTGATTTTCGGGGTCAAATAAACTTGCATTTATGTAGTGACTAGCAGTCCGGCAGATGTGAATGTGAGATTGTGAAGAGAGAGGGGAAAAGCCCGGGGCAGGAGGATTCATGATGGGGGCGAGGGGGGAGCAGGAGATGCTGCTCTAAGGAATGAAAGTCGAGGCAGATCTAGACAGAGACAATGTTTTGGGTTAGGTTTCAGCCACACTCCAGCCTCTCTTAGCCAAAGCGGAAAGGGAAGAGGAGAAGAACATTTGGCGAGCACCAGACGTGCGCCGGAGCCGTGCAGGTGATCTGTGGAGGCTGCGGCATCTCGTCATCGGCGCCCAGAAAGGCAGAGGGCGGAGCGCCACGTCACAGCCGAAGAGACGGGCGCGGACAGACCAGCCGGCTGCACGAGCTCGCACGGCCACGAGCGCAGGGCCGCCACGTGACTCTGCTGTCTGCTGGGATCCTAAGCCCCGCTCTGTGTGGCGCAGAATCTACCGAGACCACGTGCCCCTTAAGGAACAAAGATCCCATCAGCGGTTCACACAGACGGCAGGGCCACCGCCATCACATGAAGAGTCACTTTCCTGGAGCAGGGAACGACCAGGAGATAATTAGACAAGAGCTGCGGACTCGCCGGGCTCCTGCTGATGAACGGGGCGCCAGGAGCCAGGCAGGAGGGCCGGCCCCACGAGTGCTCACGGCAGCCCTGCGGCCCCCTGCCTCCAGGGCCCGCCAGGGAGCACAGTCTCTCTGACACCTTGATTTTGGCTGCCTGGCCTCCAAAACTGTGTGAGAGGGTAAATTTCTGTTGTGTTTAGCCACCAGATTGGTGGCCATTTGTTGTGGCAGCCCTAGGAAACTGATACAGGCAAACAGAGGAGTAACGAACATCCCCCAGACAAAAGGAAACACAGCATGTGAGGCACACAGCTCTCTTCCAGGACTACTTCCTAATAATGGGGACGTAACTCCTCTATTCTAAGACCTGGGTTACGACCATGAGAATGGCAAAAACACTGGCGATCTGTGGCGGTCAGAGAAGACCACCCCACTCCCTGGGCTGCTGAGAGCCTGCGGCGGCTGCTGCTAAGTCGACGCCAGGCACGCTGGGTTGGTAGCACGGTGCAGGCTGTGCGGCCGCCCCTTACCCTGTGACGGGTCCTCCTGCCCCTACCACATGGCCCCAGACCTCCGTGACAGGAGGGTGCCTGCCTCCGCCAGCACCGTGTTCCCAACAAGAGCCCGTCCTGTGGCATCATGGGCAGCGCCAGCAAAGGAGCGCCCAGATGCGTGTTTGTCTTCTGAGTCGCCTTCTACACCTGCCTGGAGTTGGGTGAGGCAAGTTCAGGGCACCCTCACAAGTGATTCGGCAGGACTGACTGCCACTGCTGACCACGCGGGATGTGAGCAACAAGGAACTGTTCAGGCCTGGTGGTCCCCTTGCTGCCTGCCTCACTGGCCCCTGGCACATCCCTTGACAGCCGGCCCTGTGTCTCCGGCGTGTGGGGCAGTGACATTTGCTCAGACAGGGCCTGCCCACAAATGCTTTGATGCAGCTGAGTGAAACGCACACCCATTGTCAGAAGAAAAACAGGACTTAGCAAGTTGGGTGCAAATACATGACTCAGGGCTGGGATTGAGATGGGAAAGATTTGAGACGAAAGTAGAAGTCCTTTTGGGGCCCCATGAGCAGCTGAATACCTGGCTCATCGCTCTGTGCTGGTCCTCAGCACACAGGTGGGGCCACCTGGCTACTGTCTGCTCTCCCCGCCCCTCCCTGGATCTGGAGCCAGCCCGTGGGCAGGGCACACTGACGGAGCCCAGCCAAGCAGCACCCTTTCCCTCTGTCAGCCTCCTGGCACCTGCTCACCAGCCCTCCTGCCTGTGCAGCTGCCCTGCCCACAGGCCACTGTCACCTGAGTCCTGGCCTCAGCTGGTTTGACTGCCCCATTAGCATGCCCTGGCTGGGGGAAAGCCACCCTCCTCCTCTGCTACAAGTCACCGTAGAATTCACCAAAAAGAACTCCAGAGAAATAAGAACACGGACCTCAAACCATGCTGAACATTCAACGAGGAGAAAATTGTTCGAACGTAGCTCACTAATCAGATTTTCAACATGCAAGTGGGACAAGCACTGAGCCGGCACACAAGATGATCAATTCAGTTTTCTCCACGATACAGAAAAGCACATGCCTCGTGCGTGCACACACATGCATCCTCTTCGCACTCTCAGCCATCGCAGAAGGGAGAAAGTGGCAGGTTACCTGGTCTCCTTATTTTTCCCCTTGCTGCTTTCCTTTGGGTGCTCCCACCAACGACCACATCACTGGCAGCAGGTGGGGGATGGGGGGCAGCCCAGGCCACCGCACTTACTGTTCCCAGCCAGCCCCTGCACCACACGCCGCTTACCTTTGCGATCTGTACACACCAGTTGAGCAGGCACTGGGAGCCGATGTTGTCCTTATGCTCGCGGATGTAGTCCAGCAGGCAGCCGAAGGGCATGAGCTGCGTGACGAGCTGCACGGTGGAGGTCAGGCAGATGCCCAGTAGGCGGCACACGTGGGGGTTGTCCACGCTGGCCATCACGTAGGCCTCCTGCGCGAGAGGGAGAGGGGGCATCAGAGAGGCCCACACACAGACCCGCGCCGGGCAAGATGGAACGGACAGGATGTGGAGTTTGAGCACAGGTACTAGTGGAGGAAAAGTTGACCCACAAAAACCCTGGTGAACAGGACCTTTGTACAGGGCTGTGAATCCTGGGTGACAAGGAGACTAGGCAGCGCTTGCCATGGACAAAACATTGGGTGAGAGGGACCTGAGCGGCCCTGATGTCTCTGAGTTTGGGAACTGGTGGTGTCGTCATTAGGAAGACCTCTGCCTCCAGGTTCAAGATGCTGCAGTTTAAAACGTTGTCAGGGCCTGCAGAAAGTCACGTTTGGGGCCCCTGGAACACCCCGGACAATGACCTGCCCCCTTAGGGCACCATGGTGAAAGCATCCAGGGAAGTCTCTGAGGAGCCAGCCCCCGGAGAGGACTTCCCTTCTACACAGAGCAGACCTGGCACCGACTGTGCTGTGGGCGACAGGGAGGGCACTTGTGTGGGGGGGGCCCTGCCCACAGCACCTCTGCACGAAGCAGCAGGAGGAGCTCTTTCAATGCCAGCTCAGGCTCTGAAACAGACAGAGAACTGAACCCACAGCAACTGCAGACAGCGCTGGCTGCCCGTGACCCGTCTCCAAAGGGAGGGTCAGTCTATGTCCCGGCGCCTCCCACCCCCAGTCTCCTGATGGGAACACACGCTGCTCTGCACTGTGCACCCTCACCCGCTCATTCAGGCTGGCTGCCAAGGCAGGAGCCTTTGCTTGACAGATCCATAAATATAGACTTTATTTTAACCCTTCTGCTATTCTTGGACTGAGGAAGCTAAATATATTTGCAATCATGCACACAATGGGGCCCTTTCTTCTGCCTGACTGAGAATTAGGAAGCCCTCAATTTCCACCCATAAATTCTCTTTCCTTGAAAAATACAAATGGTGGTGACCTTTTATTCAGATGTGAAAAAGACCACAGGGACCGCAAAAGAATGAGTTCAGAAGCTTCCTTTTCAGCAATGCCTGGGTTTTTTTTTTTTTTTTCGTTGTTGTTTAAGACAGAGTCTCACTCTGTTGCCCGGTTAGAGTGCCGTGGCATCATCCCAGCTCACTGCAAGCTCAAACTCCTGGGTTTAGGTCATCCTCCTGCCTCAGCCTCCCCTGTAGTTGGGCCTACAGGTGCACACTACCACACCTAGCTAATTTTTTCTATTTTTCTTTAGTAGAGACAGGGCCTTGCTCTTGCTCAGGCTGGTCTTAAACCCCTGACCTCAAGCGATCCTACTGCCTTGGCCTCCCAGAGCGCTAGGATTACAGGCGTGAGCCACTGCACGCAGCCAGTGTCTGTGTTTTGAGTGTGGACTTGGGCAAGTTAGCTTCTCTTTGCAGAAGTGAACACTGCCTGGGTCAGGCACTCACATGAGCAGGCAGGTTGGCCGGGCAGCAGGGCTGGAGATAGGAGACAGAGGAAGTGCGGGAGGATACAGACAGTCATCCCTAGGTGTCTGTGGGGGCTGGTTTCAGGACCCTCCTGGGATACCGAAGTCTATAGATGCTCAAGTCCCTGACACATTATGAAATGGCATAGTCTTACATACGCTCTGAGCATGCCCCATACACTTTAAGTCATCTCTAGATTCCCTATAATCCCTAATACAACACAAAGGCCATGCAATCATTGTTCTACTGTATTGTTTAGGGAAAAATGGCAAGGAAAAAGAAGTCTATATGTTCAGTAAGGGTGTAAAATTTTTTTCCAGATATGTTTTGGTCCTTGGTTGATCGACCCCATGGATGTGGAACCACAAATATGGAGGCCTGCTGTAAACGTTTCCTAAAACTCAAATACGCTCAGACCGCTTTCCTTGACTTAAAGCCAGTCCTGCCCCCAAGGCTGCCCCTCCTCTCTGGCCTCTGGTTCTCCTACTCTGCTCCCTCCGCTCCCTCCTGCTCCCTGTCTGCCCGCGGCCCAACACCCTCCCCTCCACTTCCCTGGCCCTCAGAGGAGCCTCCCCAGTCCACAGCCTGCCTGCCAGCGGCCCCAGGCCTGGGGCTGAGGTGCAGGGAGGGCGGTTGCAGCAAACCCTCTGGGTGCTGAAGCTTGGTGAAGCTGCAGAGCCCCTGCCTCGGGGCACTCATCAACCTGCACTTAAATATCTGTGATTTAAAGCATGTCCTTCTCCACCAAGCTCTTGGAGGCAAGGGCTGCACTCTCGGCCCCCAGCACGTCCCCAGGCACAGCTGGCGCTCTGCAGCTCTGCGTCCCACTGGCAAAGGCTTCCGCGTAGCCTCAACTCCTCCCGCCCACACGTGGGGGTGTCACCTCGGTGGGTGTGGGGAGCTCTGAGCGAGCTATCACTCCAGCACAGATCTAAGCACACAACCGCCTTAAAACTGTCAGGGTTGAACCACACTGAAATCATGCAAAGTCAAATTTTCAAGTAGAGTGCACATTTTTTCCTTTTATATTATAAATATAATATCACAACACTACAGAGCACAGTAGGGTGCAATATTTGGAGACTCAGTAGACATGGAAAACATCCCTTCATCTCAGAAAAGTGCTTGTTTGTAAAAGGTCAGAACTGCACAGGGCCAGCAAGTGCATTTTGTCTGAGGTCATATTGTTAGGATGGGAAACCAAGGCCCAGGGAGGTGAGTGGCCAACCTGAGGCCACACTTGTCAGTGCCAGGATGGGGCCCACATCGGTCCCCTAAGGCCTGGACTGGCCTCTCTGTCTCTGGAGCCACCCTGGAGGGCTGCCGGCTCCAGGTCCTCCCAGGAAAGCAGCTCCCGGTGCCTGCTGTGCGCTGTGGCCACCGGGCTACCTGGGAGCTGCGGCGGTGAGACGCACGCGCAGCGTGATCTGGTTTGCATTCCTTTTGTTGCCCATCCTACGCTTAAAGTGAATGTCTATGGAAAAATTAACAGCTATGCGATTTCCAGAAAAGCACAAATCATGTCTCTCCCCCGCACCTGGGAAGCTGTACAACCATAACACCAAAGAAATCCTCTGGCTGTTCCTACTTTCCCAAGATCTGGTTGAGATTTGGATACATATTGCATTCATTTGAGAGGGAAGAAAAATCTGAGAACCGGAGCAGCTGATGCGGCCCATCTGTTGTGGGGCCGCAAAGAGCTGACCTGGAACCCGGACTGGGAAGGCGAAGGGGTGTGGGTGCCGGGCCACACAGAGCCTGGAGCCCTGCCAGGCGGCCTCCTGCTGAAATCTGAGAGACCCACTGGGTCAGCGCCTCCTCCCACCCCCAGGCGTGATGGACAGTGTTGTGTCTTGCGCCCTGTTCTGTGCATGCAGAAGTTAAAGTGAGCTTTGTTCTTAGCTGTTTATCTTGGAAGCCATGAAGGCGCGCGGTGACCTACAGCAGTGTGCGTGGTGCTCTACGGCGTCTAAGTCAGCCAGGACAGCGCAGCCTGCAGCCTGCAGCCCGAGCTCACACTGAGCCCCTCCCCACCGTGGGGGTGTCCCTGAGGCTTTGGTGACCTTGAAAGCCTGGAGGTATTTTGTCCGAATTGCAGCTGTGACTTTTGGTTTTCCTTCTTGCTTGTTTCCCTTATCTGTGAACGATTTTACGTTATGAATTGGGAAAAAGGATTCCACTAGATTTTAAACTCCTTAAGGAAAGGATGAAGCTTCGCTGGTGGGCCCACCACTCACCTCCTGCTGTGCGGGACCCCCCTCCCGCCAAGTTTTGTGGAAGACAATTTTTCCACGGACGGGGGTGAGGGTGTGAGGGGTGGAGGGGTGGAGCTCTGCTGTCCAGTCCCTGACAGGCCACTGACTGGTACCTGTCCTCAGCCCGGGGGCTGGGGACCACAGTCTGAGAATATTTCCAAACCATCTGCACTCTGCATGATAAATATTGTTGAAATTCACATTTCAACATTGTTTTGTATAATTTATTAGAATGTCTTGCATGAGCAAAAAATGAATTAAGGAGGCAAATTCTGCACAACGGTTTTCTTTGTAAGAGTACAGGTGAGGGAGCTCGAGGTGGTAAGCGAAAAGGCTTCACGAATCATTTGCCTACCTGCATTTCTTGTGCTTGTTAGCAGGACTTGACGTTGATTTATAAACCATCAACATGGGAGAAGTTTTGCCTGACAAGCTTATCATCAGCATGTGAGATTTTCTGGGCACTGTACTAACACATCGCCTTTCATCTAGGAGTATACCGATGTGGGATTTCCCTCTCCGATAAAAGGAGGGAAAGCTGCCCAGAGAAAACTAAACTGTAGAGTGTTTTGCCACTGAAAAATCGATTGTGTCTAAACACATTTTTAAAAAGGCCCATGTTTTTTTTTCTTTTTTAAATCTTGCTTTTGTCTTTCTTGGTTGTAAGATCAACTATATTCTCCAGATTTTTGAGGCAATAAATGCAGCCATTTTCCCTTTTGCTGGTCCTGTTTCCCTAGCCCACTGCCGGCCCCAGCTCCCTGTCACCTGCTCCGTCTCGGCACGAGGCAGAGAGCAGGCGTTTCCGCAACGCACGGTGAGCCCGGCCAGGGCTGTGGTGGCCTCTGTCAGGTCCCAGCCAGCCTCTTCCCCGGAGGGTGCGGCCCACCCCAGCCAGGCTGTCCAGAGAAGGCAGCCAAGTGCAACAGAATCAAAAGTGACGGCTTAACAGTCATCTTACGGGACATTTCCAGGACTTATTCCATAATGCAGCAATCGGCAGACACTGGAGAATTGCACTTGAATTATTTGGGGCAAAAGTACAGAAGTTTACTTTCTATACAATAACAATGTCCCCTGTATACAAAACAGGTTGTTTACATGGTAGGCACCATTATTCGAGCACCTTTAAACAAAGTCATTTCAAAGATGAGACAACTTGGCAGAGGAAATCGAATGTGAGCTTTGGGGTCAGAAATAACAACGGGCTTGACTCCCTCCCCAGCCACGGGAGCTCAGCAGGTGTCTTTATGCCTCCTTTGCTTCACCCAAGAAATGCCGAACGCAATACCTGCATGGGCTCGCCGCGAGCACCCGCTGGGACAGGTGGGTGAAGAAGCAGTTTCAGCACTGCCCAGCAACTATGAGTTTCTGTCCTTTGGGGACAGATAATGGAATAGAAGAGGTGAGTCTGATCTGGAAGAGGAAGGAATTATATCAAGTGTGGCCTGAGGACAAAGACACAGCAAGTGACAATGAGAACGTGGGGATGAAGGTGTCTAGAAGAGAGCGCCATGCTGCCAGGCACAGGAGAGGCGGCTGCGGGGTCCAGGGCCGTGGACAGCTATAGAACAAAGCAGACTCACATCGAGAATTTCCTTGTTGGCTTTCGGGGATGTTGCTTCTCTCAATTCCTTGATGGCCACAGGGATTTTAACTTTCTCACCTTCTGGGATCCAGAGTCCCTGTGACAGAGGGGAGACGTTAACCGTTAACCGCAGCTCTGCACTCCAAGGCCAGCGGTGGGCGGGCGTGACGTCTCAGCAGCTCTTTAGCTAGCAGGGTCCACGAATCGGAGTAATTATTTAGATAAAAATACCCAAGCCTGTGCCAGTTATAAAATCAGTGTGGATCATTTCATCCAGGATTCCAGGCCTAGTCAGACTTCATGCAAAGAGGGTCTGGTAGAAAACCAATTAAGAGGAGCCTGTTTGGACCTGGGCTTTATTCTGGTGCTGTCACACGGTGACAGATAGCCCACACAGCGACAGAGAGCCCTCCTGCTGCCTTCAGCTGTCCTGTCCCCTGCCCTGGGTCACACTCCCTCTACAAGGTGACATCCTCCTTAAAAATGCCTCCGGTCTGTGCATAGGTCCCCCAGGGTCACTTCTTTGTCACTATGCTATAGAAGATTTCCTCTCTCACTTGGGAAAAATGTCGGAAGTTCTCAAACCCTCAGCGAAACAAAGAGCAGATGATGATGAAAACGCATCCCCAGGACGTACCTTGTACACGGTGCCAAATGCACCAGAGCCCAGAACCTTGATCTTCTTGAACTCGGTTTCCTTTAAGATCCTCAAGAGAGCCTGGTTGGGAGCTTCTCCGCTGGGCGTGAGAGGCTCGACAAGCTGTGGGCGACACAGGCAGAGCAGACGTGGCTCAGAGCGCAGCACGCGGGGCCGCGGGAGCAGCCGCAGAGCGGCCGGTGCTGGTGACTCAGACGACACACCGGCTGCGCCTGCTGCTAAGGACGAGCGTACACCTTGCCTAAAGCACTTCATGAGAGACAGCAGAACTGGGGCTTCCTGACAGAGGTGCTCTTTAAAGAGCAGCTACATTCCAACAAACACAATTTCTATTTCTGTTTCCATGCTAACCAGCTGGATTGAAAGACTCTGGTGAGGGCAATTTTTCTGCGGAGACCATTCTGATGTCCATCGGGGCCCCCTGCACACAGCCCCCATGCTCACGAGCGCTGGGTCCCTCCTCCCAGCACAGCGCTGGGCAGTGAAGGCAGCACCAAGCGCACACAGAGCTCAGGAGGAACGGCCACTGTGTGGACAATGGACTTTTCCAAAGCGGTGTCTTGTCTCCGCCACCGCAGCGCCTTCACAGGGACCCACAGCGCCCTCCTCCCCGCCCCCCAGCCGCCCTCGGGCGCACAAGCAGGCAAGACCCTCAGGCCGCACACAGCTCTGTACGCGCTTTGTGGGACTTGGCCCAGAAACACTTCCATTTCACTGGATGGATGTCCCAAAATGTAACTAATTGGGTATAATTGGACACTCAGAGAATTTCTGGTTTTCCCATCATAACAAATAACGCATAATACTATGATTATGTATCTCAAATATACAATTGCAAATGGCAAGTTCTCGAAGGACGGCCCTTGCTCCTGTCCGCAGCGAGGGCTCCCGAGGGCGCCGCGCCGCGCCCGGCCGCGCTCACCTCTCTCTCCTGCAGCAGCCTGCGCAGCGTGCGCTTCCGGACGATGTGGCGCCTCCGCAGGAACAGGCCGATCCCCAGAGCCACCACCACCGCCAAGAGGAGGCCGCCCACGATCCCAGTGGCAATGGACGGGATCTTGGGCCTGGAGTGAGGCGGATGGACAAGGAGGTGAGCTCTGGACAGATTCTACAGCATCAGCAGTTTACACATTTCCTGCATGTTTTGGCACATTGACACCATGGGAAATTCTCTCACAAAGCACCACACCGTGTAGCTTCTACAGGGAGAGGAGAAAGCTGACTGCGACTTCTAGGGCCAAGTTTCCAACTTCCTCGAGCTCCCTGGTCCCAACGCCACCCCCAACCACCTGTTTTGCATGTTTAAAATTGAAGTTTCATCTGGACCTTTCCATATGATAATTATTTTTCAATCTGTTGATTAAGAAAATATATAATTCAAAAAATAATCCTGACTTCAATGATGTTTTTGTATGGATCTGTGTCGTGTTCATTCCAAGGGCATTTCCATACAATCAAAGAACAGCAGCCTGTGCACGGAGCCAGGCAGTCTCCCCGCCAGGCTGGGAGGGAACCGCTCAGTGATGCTGACACTGCTCGAGGGGCCCCTGGTTTTCAAGGTGGGACCAGCAGCTACGGGAGGCGCTCTGAGAATGAGCTCGAAGGAGGTTATGAAGAGATAGGATTTAGGCATAAAGAGCATCATTGCCACAATGAGTGAAGTCAGCACGCAGCCTCGGACCGCAGTGCGCTCCTCCTCCCACGGAGGTCACGTCTAATTTCAGAGAGAGGAAAAACTCAGAAGTCAGGCTTTCAAGCTCATGGGGGAAAGGACCATTTGAATTCGTAATTCTGAATTTGGAGTCCTTAGAAAGTTATTCTTCTTAAGTATCTACCCCGTTTGAGCTGCTGGCAGATGGATTCATGTTTTCTGGCAGAAATGTAAACGACTATCGAAGACGAAGTGGCAGTGTCATCTGCATGTAAAATCGGTCCTGGAGTCCTTACACACTTCTCCCGAGTGGGCCAAATGCATTTCATGAAAATGATAGTTTGCAATAGTTTCTTTTTAGGGAGTGCAAAAGTTATCTGTGTCACACAAAATCTCCAATTAATGCAGTTTGAATAAATGAGTTTTTACTATTTTGAGGGACCACTGGAAGATAAAAGGAATAACTTGTTATAGAGAATGTGTTTCATAGAGTGCCACAGTGGTAGGCTGAATGAGAAGAGAAGAAAAATTAAAAAGAGTAAACATAATAAGGAATGGCCATTGACTGCTTTCAGGGTGAGGTGTGATGGGAACCTCATCACGAAGATTCCCAAGATCGCAGCACGAAGATAGGAAGATTTTGCTGGGTGTCCTTGCAGGCTCCCTGAGGAGACGGAGGTGACAGGAGATCTATCTCTGAGAAATTGCCTTATTTCTCGTCAGTGTTTCACCCAGTGGCAGGAGGCATTTGCCATCACGCCAGCGCTGGGCACGACAGCACGCTGAAGCTGAGGAATTGTGGGTAGGGGACACTGCCAGGAATGGTACAGGTGCCTGGAAGTTTGGCTGGTGTCCAGCGTCAGAAACAGCAAATAGGCGTTTTGCGTGTCATTCCCTGATTCCCGGCCACGCACTGCCGACTGACAGCGCAACTCTTTGCTGTGAGTCTCAACAGGATCCGCAGTGGTGCTTTTCTCAGGCTGGCGTCGCAAGCGAGAGAAGCCCACCTACGTGGCTGGGCAATGTGCTGGGAAATGGCAGTAAGGACAGGTGATCCCCCAAGCTGGACCTTTGTCATCAAACAGAAAGGCCACTCCAACACAGGTCTGTGACGGGACCAACTGGGCGAGTGGGGAAAAAGGAGAGGAGCTAGAAGAAGAGAAGGACCCGCAACATCGGAGTAACCAAAGAGGTCAGGGACAGGCTACCTAGGAAGAGAAGCAGCCGGGCCTTGAGCCCCAGTGCCACACGCCCTGCGCCCCTCCACTGAGGAGCGCGTTGCGGGAGGAGGTGGAACCACAGGGCAGGGTCTGCCAGGGGCCCTGTGCTGGCCCAAAGATGTAAAACTTGACCAGGGTAGAGGACAATCAGAAGTGCACAAAGGCAGTATCTTTGCCCACAGCACTCTCGGTCACTTTTGATGCAGTCTGTGGGACACAGAGCTATATATACTCACCCGTTGGTTGCACAGCCTTGAAGACCTGGCCCAGCACATCTGTAGGAATTGAGAAAGAAAGACTCATTTTTCTCATTCTACATCTTTGGCATTTTTTTCTTGGAAACTTTTTATTAAATCATAAGGCAATGTGCATTAAACTACTCTTAAATCATCAAAATCACCATGCATCTCAGTGTTGGGGTGGTGATTAGAAATTTATTTATTATGTATTTATTCATTTATTCCTTCACTCAGCAAATATTTCTGAGTGTCTATGCTCAGAGTTAGAGCATAGAAAGGGGTAGTTCCAGCATCGAACAAAGCAGCCAGTTCGTGACTGAAATGCCTTCTCATACTGTTTCTGACGTGGGAGTAGCTGTCTCCAGCTGGCTGCAAGTGTCAGTGTGGACGGCGCGTAGAAGAAGCTGCATCTGGACACAGCCACTGGGCCACATCGATCACAGAGAGGCCGGCAGTGTGGAGCAACTGCAGGTTTGTGAATGTGGAAGAGGCCAGTCCTAAGGACAGTGACCAGGTTACCCAAGGGTGGGCGAGCAGGAAGGAACCCTGACGTAGGAAGGGGTCCCCAGTGGGAGTGGAAGGAAGGGCATGGACAGGAGACATGTGCAGGAGAGGCAGAAAGAAAGGGGGAGCAGATGGGTGACAGCCAGTCTCAGTGGCAGGAGGTGGCCATGACAATTCAGAGCCCGAAGGCCAGGTGCAGGAGCCACGTCCTCCCGCTCTACTCAGTGGCAACGTCTATTGGGTGGAAGACAGGATCCATCCTCAGTGTGCCCCTGAGCAGCCGATTCCCGCTCTAGTGGGACAGCCGCCACCGTTACTTTAATTACAGGACAACGGTTTAAACAGGCGGAAACAGCCAGCTAGAGACTCATATTTCACAGCCTGGGGAGAGATGCACAGCTACATTTCAAGGTGTGAGGAAGACTGGGGTCTGGTGTGGCACTGTTATCTGGTCCTGAACGTCTTCCTTCCCTGCGCCCCAGGTCCCAGCAGACGGCTCTGCTCTGTGCACTGTGCCCCCCTGGCGTGAGTGCCTGGGTCTCCCTCTTCTCCCGGTGGCAGACAGCACCAGGAGCACACAGGGAGCCTTCTTACTTCCTGCTCTATCCCTCCTACGAACACCGAAGTGGTCCAGGACAAAAGCATTCACTAATGAAGAGACCATGGATAAAACGACCCCCCAGGGCTGGCTGTCTCCCCCACCTGCAGGATGCAATGCAACAGGAATGTAATATGTGAAGGTGCGCGGATTGAAATTGGAAATTTTGGACGAGAGGCAGAGTTTTATGCACCCCTGAAAGCACTGCTGGAAAGCTGCAGGGATTGCTAACAAGAAGTTGTGACAAACAAACTCAGAGGGAAAGGCAGGCAGTTTACACTGGAAGACAAGCTGGACGAGGCAGGGCCAGGGCAGGGCTGCAGGAGGACACGGTGGGTCTCAGAAGAGTGGGAGGCCCTGGGAACACGGAAAGGCCCTTTCTCGCCTGCTTTTGCAGAAACGACTGCTGGATATGAAACCAAAGAGGCCATTTCGTGATATTTCATTCTGTCAGGGAAATTATTCTCTGCTCCCAACTCAATTTATTCTTTTTTATAAGGAATTTATACATAATTGCAATTACAGTAGAAACTAAATTTTGTTACCTATTAATGAGAACAGGAAAATTTTCATACTATTTAGTTTAACTTGCCTGGATAAAAATGTCAAAGAAATTTTCCCGTCACCATTTACTATGAAATTGTGGTTTCATTTAAAAAGGGATATGCCTCCTGCGTCCCGCCCGTTTCCTGGCACCACAGCTGCAGGGCTGGGAGGTGTGGCATTTGGGATTGGGCAGGCACCGACGCTGTAGTCTGGACTCTGACCCACCGGATCATGGGTCATGATGGTTACTGAACCTCTTTATGTGTCTCTTTAACAATAAAAATGGGAAAGCAATATATCCTGCCCAAGAAACGAGAGAGGCGATGTATTCAATAATGTTGGGCAGAGCATAAATACACAATAAAAGAAACGTTTTCTTATTTTCCCTTATTCTCCTCAACATTTCTCCATATTTTAAAAATTAAATCCATTTCTATCACATGATTTCTATATAGTGAATGGCTTTGGGAGAAGATACAGGTAGCAATAACAAGATTATATAAAACTATATGCTCTTCTTCCAAAAAAGGCTCAGAACCAGGAAGCTAATCATATATATGAAAGAAAATATTGATAAAATTCTGTATGTCAAATGCATAACCAAGATTTTATTTGAAACAAAGAAAGAGATCAAAATTGTAGAAGAAAATGCAATTTTAGTGGGAGACTTAAGTCAGACAGTGGAGATTTATTATTACCTGGGGAAAAATAGATATCAGAACAAATAACTACTAACATTGTGGGTAACTTCCTCCTTTCTATATTTGGCAATCTTCTTTCTTATACAAGGTAAATGTATTGAAAATTCCACTGCCCACAGACTTTCTGGACCCCTCTAACTCCAAAGACATATACTCGAGACACAGAGATATACATACACATACATTTCCCAAAGACAGAAAAAGGGGAAAGATACAACATTTATTCTATGCAGATAATAGAATTCTGTTTTAGAGAATCTACTCCAAAACTGCTTATAAAAAATAGATTAAGTGAAAAGCTAGCAAAGTGCAGTTTATACCACACTTCATTGAGCTTACAAATCGGCCAACACAACCTGCACGCTGATATACCCAGAGGAGAAAAACCTTTAATTGCTACCAAAGAAGTATTTGGTAAAATTCAAAATCCATTCCAGATTTTCAAAAATGGTTAAGAACTATTGTAAAAATAGATGAGTATTTCCTCAGTAAGATAATTCATATCTCAAACTAACAGCAAATATTGTTGTTAATATTGAGACATTACAGTCATTTCCACCACTGTCAGACGTAAAACTCTGATGTCCATTGCCATTGTGTCTGATGTTATTCTGGAAACAATAAAATATTATTCTGGCCCTTATAACACAATCTGATACTTTTAGAAAAGAGATATCATTACTAGAGATGATATGATTGTCTTCCTAGAAAATTCACTAATCATTATAACGTCGAAATCACAGTCCCTGTGCGCCACCACCACCATCTGTGCTGTCACTGCTCCAGTGCTCACCCTGTCCCAGGTGCCACTTTAAGTACATTATACATATTATTAATAACTCGAAATCACAAACATCCTGTGAGCTATGCAGCATTATTATCCCAATTTACAGGTGAAGAAGGTGAGGCACAGAGAAGGGAAGACACGTGCCCAAGGCCACACTACTACCGTAAGACAGATCCAGAGAAAGAAAGTGTAACAGCTCCAAATAAGGTTGGGGATCTTGAGAAATACAAGGAAATGTGAACTAGTGTATATGAAACTCAGCTCCTCTCTCCAATTCTCTTTCTGATTCTTGAGTCCAGTTTATTGCCAAATTTATTACTCCAGTAAATATGAAACAATCAGAGCACTTCTGCTAATTGCAGTTAAAATAGTTTAAATTCACGTAGTAACAGCGTAACAATCAGCTTTAAAAAAAAAAGTATCTTTAAGCAACGTTCCAGGTGGAAAACCATACCATGCTCATGGGTCAGCAGAATCAACATTGTTAAAATGTCTATATTACCCAAAGTGACCTACAGATTCAATGCAATCCCTAGTAAAATACCAACATCATTTTTTACAGATCTAGAAAAAATAATTCTACGTTTTGTATGGAACCAGAGAAAACTCCATATAGCAAAAGTAATCTTAAGCAAAAAGATCAAATTGGGAGGCATCGATGTACTAGTCCTCAAGCTATACCACAAGGCTATAGTAACTAAAACAGCATGGTACTGGCACAAGAACAGAGAAATAGACCAATGGAACAGAACTGAGAACCCAGATGTAAAACCATCCTCATATAGCCATCTAATCTTTGACAATGCAAACAAAAACATACACTGGGGAAAAGAATCCTTACTCAAAGAATGGTGCTGGGAAAATTGGATAGTCACATGTAGAAGACTGAAACAGCACCCGCACCTTTGACCTCTCACAAAAATCAACTCACTCTGGGTAATACACTTAAACCTAACACGTGAAACTATATGAATTCTAGAAGAAAATGTTGGAAAAATTCTTACAGACATTGGCCTAGGCAAAGAATTTATGAAGACGACCCCAAAGGTAATCATAGCAATAACAAAAATAAGTAAATGGGACCTGATCAAATTAAAAAGCTTCTGCACAGCCAAGGAAACTATCATGAGAGCAGACAACCTATAGAATAGGAGAATATATTCACATATTACACATCAGATAAAGGGCTGATAACTAGAATCTATACAAAACTCAGAAAAATCAGCAATAATAAATCAAATAACCCTATCAAAAAGTGGGCAAAGGACATGAACAGAAACTTTTCAAAAGAAGATAGGCTAATGGCCAAAAACCATATGAAAAAATGCTCAACATGTCTAATCATCAGAGAAATACTAATCAAAACCACAATGAAATATCACTTAACTCCAGTGAGAATGGCCTTTATCAAAAAGTCCCAAAATGATAAATGTTGGTGTGGATGCAGAGAGACAGGAACACACACTGCTGGTGGGACTGCAAACTAGTGCAACCTCTGTGGAAAGTAATATGGAGATATCTCAAAGAGATACAAGTAGAACTACTATTTGATCCAGCAATCCCATTACTGGGCATCTACCCAAAGAAACAAAAGACATTCTATAAAAAAGATATCTGCACTATAATGTCTATAGCAGCACAATTCACAATTGCAAAGATGTGGAAACAACCCAAGTGCCCATCAATACATGAGTGGATTAATAAAATGTGGTATATGTATACCATGGAGTTCTACTCAGCCACAAAAAGCAATGGTGATCTAGCACCTCTTGTATTATACTGGATAGAGCTGGAGCCCATTCTTCTAAGTGAAGTATCACAAGAATGGAAAAACAAGTACCACATGTACTCACCATCAAATTGGTATTAACTGATCAACACTTATGTGCACATATAGTAGTAACATTCATCGGGTGTTGGGCAGGTTGGGGGAGGAGGGGATGGGTATATTCACACCTAATGGGTGCGGCGCACACCGTCTGGGGGATGGACATGCTTGAAGCTCTGACTCGGGTGGGGCAAAGGCAATATATGTAACCTGAACATTTGTACCCCCATAATATGCTGAAATAAAAAAAAAAAGGCAACATTCCAGGCAATGTTACTTCTTATTCTTGGCAAAACAACAACAAAAAAATCACTCCCCATACTAACTCTAGTAATCTGGAGAGATTTGTAAAAACATCAGGAGAGGGGCTGGGTGGCAGCTTCCAGGACAGGTGCTGTCACTGCTCCCCCACTACCCTCCTGTTTAGACATGCAGCATCGCAGAACAGAGCCTGGGCGTGAGACCCTCGAGTACAGCAGAGACGGTTCCCTGCCAGCTGCGAGATTTGCCCACAAGCATGTCTCTGCTGCCACCATGGCCATGGGGTCAAAACACCCCAAGTAAATGACTCACATACAAACCTCTGTAATTTATTGCCTGAAAATTTTGAGACCTTTTCAATCTACAAATTTGCAAGAGAGGAAACATTCTGTTCTCTTGTGCTTTCCCATCTAGGCATCAGAGCCCCCACTCACCCATAGGTGCAGTTTGGATGGCACAGGCGGCACACACGGCTGGCATCTGCATACTTCCAGACCAGGGTGCTGTTTTCCCCCATGACTCCCGCTGGGCAGGTCCTGACACAGTGAGGGCCATCGATGTAGTGGGCACATTGGATGCAGTGGTCTGGTCCCTGAACCAAAGTGGAGAAAAACTTTTATGTATATCGCTTTCTTTTCTCTTTATTTTTTCAAAATGGAAGTTTACTTAAAAGAAAAAAAAAAACAAATGACAGAGAAAGGCTTAACGTGGAAAACAAGTTCTTCTGTGATCGCACTTGCTAGAAATGGCTGCTGTTAATCGCTTGGTGGAAAGTCTTCCTGACTTTACATGCACATAATATATACAGATGTAAAAAAAGCTATACTTTATTGCATTTTGCTTAATATGCTGCGGGCACCTTTCTTTGTCAAAACCATCTTGATTGGCCTACACGCATATTTATATCTTTATTGGGCAGATAGTGTTTCTTGCAAATGATGTTGGAAGTTACGGGGAAGCTCTGAAGGAAGCCGGCTGGCCCAGGCAAACTCGAGAAAACCAACATCGGTGTTTTCCAGGGAAGAGAGGAGGCGGCGTGAGTGCTGGCGGGTGTGTGATGGACCATGTCACACACCACATCTGATTCTGTCTGTGAGACGCGGGAGGCCCTCGCAAAGCTCACAGAGACAAAAGTGTGCGGTCGCTCGGGCTGTGTGCGCCACTTTAGAAGGGCCTGAAATAAAACCCTTGGCCAAGTTCTCCAATGTTAGTGTGCTCAGAGCCGGCACAGCTAGTGACTAAGTCAGTGCCACTGATTGTTTTAACAACAGAAATTTCATCCGACACCACACAGACCTACAAACCAGTGCTTTACTTTGTAACCAGCCTTGTTGGCAGCCTAGACCTCAAAACGCAGTCCTGATCTGCACAGAACTTCTGAAAAACGTTTTCAATTGTAGATTTAGAAATGGATGTTGGAGCTCAAATTCAAACAGAGCTTCATATATAAACAATATTGAGAATTAACAGCATTAGGACATTTGGTGTGAGAGACACCTGAATTCTCACTCACATTCTTTGTAAGATTATTACTGAACAGGAAGATATGAAACTGTGATTTTTAAAATGCGTTGCTAGGAGTTTCTTTAAAAATTCCTCAACTAATTAAACTAATGTTAAACAAGAACTCGAGGACATTTGATTAAAATGATAAAGCAAGGATGACAGACATTAGGCATGGTGGGAACTGGCTGACAAGAGTAACTGTTAAGTTTGGGGATTTAATAAGTCAAAATAAGTTGAATTTTTAATAAGTTTAAATCGGCTTAGGTAAGTGTGGCGGTGCAGAGCGGGAACAGTGGGCGGGCGGGAACTTCACCAAACACGGCGGCGCCGCCTCCTCTGGGGAAGTGGCTCCACGGCTGTCCTTTCCAGCTCCAGGATGACTCGGGGCAGCGTTGTTGCTTTTGCGAAGACTTTTCCCCACGGAGTGGGAGTGAGTAACACTAAGGGGCGGCTCACCCGTCCTGTGCAGGTGATGTTCATGGCCTGGGGCAGGCACTCCGCGTGGCACTGGACGCACTCGGAATTCTCCACGAACTCCCTGGGCTCGCTGCCAGAAGCAAGAAGGAAACATCAGTGCCATCCCCGAGATGCTGCTTCCACAGGCAGGTGCTATGACTGTCTCGGGGAACACAAATCAGCTCTCTCAGAAATTCAAAGTAATTTGAGGTAAATGTCAAAGAGTTAGGACTCTAGGACTACACTGTATTATGATAAATTGATTTTATTAACTGAATCCTTGGTAATCTTCTCCCTGAATAAAAACAGAAACTTCATTTATAATCTAACTATCTTCACTGCATTTTTTAAAGGCGAATTTTTTGTATATTTGGTTAGCAAGACAAAGGATGAAAAAAAAAATTCCTTACGAGGTGCCCCTGCCTCTGGTCCCAGATTCATGGACATTTAAATTAAGCTGGACAGAAATGGTAACTGTAGACTAAGGGACAGGAAAAGGAAGAAGGGATAGTAAGGACCTGCTCAGTGGTCATCAGTAAAGTGTGGAACATGGATGTGGAAGGTTTTCCACATCCCTCAAGATGTACACGTCAATGTCAGACAAGAAGCCGACGCTTGACTAAAAAGACAAAACAGCTGTTAAGAAGACTAGACTCTGCCTGGTCATTAACTACAGGTCTTCACTCCGAGCGGTGGACAAGGAGTGTTTACACCCCAAAAGGGTATGCCACAAGCCCTCTCTTTCAGCAAATGGCATCAATTAAACCAAATATGACACAGTAGTGTGTTTTCTGCGCTGCTTCTCCGGGCCACTGCCCTGCCACAGGGGCCAGTCCTGCGTAGCGAGCAGGTGCTGCCAGACACGGTTTCTCTGCACCAACAGAAGATGCGGCACGTGGCGAGGGTGTTCGAGTTACCTTGCCTCTTAAGACACTGGAAAACTGAAACCATGAGCTGAGTGTGTATTCGTAGCAGTAAGGATTGCACCAGTATTCCCTCCTTGAACTTTGAACAGCACTATCAATTTCGCTAGTTACTCTGAGTCCATCAGCGAAGGGATTCCTACAGAATCGAGCTGGGCTTCCTGCCCTGCTCCCGAATACTTCCGGACCAAGCTCTGATCCCCACCTGGTAGGGACGTGGGGAGGAGGATTTTCTGCAGCCACCCGTAGTTCCTACAGCTCTTCTCCATAACAAAACTCCCTTTTTCTTTAAATTTTTAAGAAAAATTTTCTCTGCCTCTACCCTTCAATTTTATAATACTTTCTATTTATTTATTTTTCATCATTATTCGTGGTCATTCAAACCCTTATATCGATACCAAGATTGTCACAGTATCCACAGACTGGACTTTTTATTGATGGAAACTGAATTCAACAAATATTACATGAATTATTTCTTTCTCCATGGTAATATTTAAAGGTATTTGCACCGTTCAATGTTCAGTGCATGCTGAAGGTACATAAACAAAAATTGACAGGAAATCCAATTTGTATTAACATATTTTGACACAGGAGGAATAGAGTACTGCAAAAAAAAAAAAATAAAAAGACCAAAAAGCCATGGTTTTGGCCATATAAACCATTATGACTGTTCTATTTGTCTTGCTAACTTTGTGTAGTTTAGAAAAATTTAAGATATTTCCGGGAAGAGATTCTATAAATTATTGGATTAGATTAAATAATAATAATACAGTTTGCTTATTCCTATTGTATTAATAATTAACAGTGAGCCCAAAAGTAAACATATAAGCAAACAACACCCTCCAAGCACAGAACAAAAAACAAAGGAAAAATAAAGGAAAAGAAAATCAAACTGAATAGCTATAAAGCTATGAACACAACCCTGAGTCTTATTTTTGATCAAAACAAGGGGCTGGACAAGTGACCACGTACCCCTCCAGAACGCTGCACTTCTCCACACACTCCCTGCCGCGGCTGACGCTCCGGCAGGAGACGCAGTCTCTGGGCTCCGGGCCCCAGCAGCCCGCTGGCGAGCACAGGGAATGACAGACGTGGCCCGTGGCCTCTGCGGAGACAGCGCGCCTCACGGAATCGGTTACGGAACAGGGACGGAGGGACCAGTGGAGACCACACCTCCCCGCAAGGGCGGCCGTGTGCTCCGTGACCTGGAGCTGCACAGACACGCTGGGAGCTCCTGAAGGAGGCCCAAACTGGGCTTCCCAGTCCCCCTGCCCTCCCAGGAGCCCAGGACACCCTGCACCAGACCCCAGTGGTGTTTTGGTGACAAAGGCCACAGGCGACAGGAACCGTAGGGCAGGCTGTGGTTGTCTGCTCTGTGCTAGGCACATGCCAAGAGCTTTGCACACAGCATTTCATTTAACTCTCTCAACAGCACCGCGGCGCAGGAATCATTTCCACCTCCAGTGTATGGATGAGGAAGCCGAAGCCTGAGGAAAGCAGCTGACTGGGGTCCCTGAGCTGGAGTGGCCGAGCAGCGTGTGAACCAGACCCGCTCCTGCCGAGGCCAGCGCTCAGCCGAGGCCAGCTGCTCCCACCAGCTTCATGGCTGACCTGGGCTCTAGCACCAGGACAGGAAGCGTCAGTGTGACACGCTCAGCCCATCCTCTGCTCAAGTGTCTACCTACAGTCTTCAGAGGCCGAGATGGGCAGGGAGCGCCCTACAGCTAAAATGTGATATAACTAATTCTAAATTTAGTTCTCTAATTTGCAAATAACTGGTAGCCTAAACCTCAGGGAAAATACATCCTATGAAATTAGAATGATCTGGAAACAATTCTAATGAACTTCACGTGACTTCACAATTAGGAATATACAGATTTTAATTTGCTTCTTAATGAATGAAAAAAGTAATTTAAATGTTTGGTAATATCTAAATAAAAATAAACAACCCACTGGAACCATCTCCACAATCAAAACAGAAAGTCGTTACTTACTGCAGTTGTTTTCAGCTCTGTTGTTTATAATTTTGGTTTTCTGACTAGAGGTCCCAAATAGCTTTTTCCAGTTTATTGTATTTGCATAGCACAAATTTTTGTTTCCTGAGATTATCACATCTCCATCACTTATCTCCTTGAGGGAACGTAATCCCAAGGATGTTATGTTCAGGCCAACAACCGCAAGAGAAAACTGACCACTAAATTGGAGAGAAGAAGAAGAACACTGTGACAAACTATGAAAACAATACATCCCTAAGACTTTATTTTGTTTTTCTGGGGCACCTTCGCTTCACTACGAAACTGCCTTTCGAGGGCTGCGAGTCGCGCTGTGGAGGGCGTGCGCTGCAGTTTTTGAAAACTGCAAGTATTTTTTAAGCTCCTCCAGGGAAAAGCAAGTTCCTTCTTCATTTAGCATCTTTAGCCTCAGTGGCAGACTGAGGGGCAGAATAAATGTCTTAGTGTCATTATTTTATTTACTACATTTTTATTTTGCTTGGAAATTGAGAACATGGTCTAACCTTTCAAACATCCAAATACGTTCAAAGGTTGTAGGTTTGTTCACTCGCCCATCCATCTGTCCATGCACACTCACTGAACAAACATTTGAGGTGCTATGTGCCAAACCCTGTCCGTTAAGTGTTTCCTACTCTCAAGAAACCCTGGGTCTAGTGGTGAAAATGTCACCCCAGTGTGTGGGTGCAGTGAGCGTGGGCACCACCGGAGCACAGGGCGGGGGTCTCTCTGACAGGTCTGGGGTGGGATCTGTGTGAGGGGGTGGCTTCCTCCGAGAGGTGACGCCCGAGACCGTGAGGCCCTCGGGAGCAGGAGCTGTGATGCTTTCTTCACCACTCAGCACGACGCTAGGACTCTAGAAGGTCGTCCATCGGACGACGGATGGACATTGTTGAGACTAAAGTGGGGAGTCCTGAGTCACCTGCAGGGTGGGAACACAGGGGATGGGTGTGAGAGCCACAAGCGCTAGCCGCACCCTGACAGTGCCGGTGGGGAGGGTCGGGGTGAGGGCGGATGGGGCCGGAGCGCAGGAGACCTTGGCACCTGCAGAGGAGCGCAGGCTGTCGTCGGTAACTGAGGGGAGCCACAGGAAGGCGGTCTGCGTTCGTAGGAAGCTCGTTTGGGCCGAGGCTGCGTGCCGAGCCAGCTGAGACAGGCCTGAGTGGCAGAGGGTTGAAGTTCCGCTCGGAGGCCCCTCTCTCCCTGTTACTCTTCTCCCCACCCTTCCTCCTGGCCTCCTCAGAAGCCAGAGGCCAGCGTGGGAGACCTGCAACCCCCACGGTCAGCGGTTCTGCCGGTGCCCACCCAGGAAAGCCGAGACACGGGGCAGAGCTGGGGCTTCCCTGCAGGGCTGGTCTGGGGCGTTGGTGAGTCACTCCCTGAGCCAGTGGTCGCCCTGCCTTGGGAGGGACCAGAATCACTGGACTTTTCATTAAATCGGAAAATAAGTGACCCTTATCTTATTTAAATCCTGAAAACTCAGGAGGGGTACAGACCAGTTCTCCAAGCACAGTGCTCTAAATCTCTCTTTTCTGTATCAGCCTTAGGCAAAGGAAGTGCGCCGGCGTGCACAGCGCACGGGGCCTTCCGGGAAGCAGTGGCGGCTGCGAGTTTGGTACCAGGGATGCACAGCCAAGGCTGTTTATGGAAAGCAATGTGCGTTTCACATGCTCTTTCTCTGATATTGCACCGTGTTATGGATTCCCCTTTAGGGGCCGTGAAGGGAGAAACTTCTCATAACCAGACTGTTTCCAGGGCAGATTTGACCAAGAGATTCCCAAACTCCTCCTCGTCACCACAAAATGAATGATTGCTCTTACGACGTTAAAGACACTCGTGTGTGCACCTGTGTGTTGACTGCACCATTGTGAGCTGGAAAGCGGAAATCACGAAAAAGGCATTTAGTGTTAGACAGGCCATCAGGTCCCTCTGATGTGATGTGCATAATCTCAGCTGCTGATGTCCTGAGGCAACATCGGCCAAACACAATCGGTTCACAGTCTACAAAATACCTGACCTGTGCTTTGCACAAGTGTAGAGGCCCACAAAAGGCAGGAGAGACATAGGCACTAATGCAGATTGGAGAGGACTGAGAAGATTTAACCAGAATAAACGCACTCATGGAAGAACTGGTGAATTCTGAATAAAGTTCACCACGGTTCAGTGTATGGCACTGTGCCAATGCTCATTTCTTTGTCTTGAGCCTGGACCTGCTCAGGCGAGATGTACGTTACGGGAGGACACGTGGGCAACTCTCCTATAAGTCTAGCTGCAAGATGAGAAGACAGAAACAATCTGCCAGCCTCTGGCGATGGGCAGCTTACTGTTGCTTGGTCCTGCCGCGTATGATTTCCAGGTTCTCGAAGGCGTGGAGGTCGGTCCTGTTTTCAGGCCAAGCCTGAATCAGCAAAAACCCTGCCAGGCAGAAGGAAGGTTCAGACACACGCCACTTAGAAGTTTCCTTTTTGTGTGAGACATTATTCTTGGCATCACATGAGACTATGCTGTGACAGTAAATGTGAAAATTGGATTGGACTCTTTCCGTCACCTTCACTGCTTGTGTCCACGCTTGCGCAAACCAAGCGGCAGTTTCATGATGGCATCTCGTCTCCCCTTGGAGTTCCCCATGCCCAGCTGCATCTCTCTTGCCACCCAGCTCCTGCCCACGGGTGCCCATCCTGCTGTGGCCCTGGGACCCCCCCTGGGCTCACATTTGATTGCCCCAAACAGCCTCCTGCTGCGATCATAGCTGCCAATCACTGGCCTGTTATCACACACAAGGGGCTGTCCTTATTTTCCTTATTTAATTCCAATCCCCAAACGTGCGTGTTATTTAGGTCTTAGAGGTGAAGAAAGTGGGGTTCAGATGGCAGTCACAGGCTCAGGGTCTGCAGGGGCCCAGCAGGGGTTTGCAATCTCCCTGGGAAGGCCTGGGAGCCCACGCTGGCCCCACCCCCCAACTGCCCTCCTGCTGCTGGTTAGCGTCACGGGCCAGCAAGGTGGCCGGTCCACGCTGGGGAGAGCCAGGAATGAAACACATCCACGCATCGGGAGGGACCCGAGCTTCGGCTTAACGTGCTGCTCTTTGCGTGCAGGGAAAACCACATTTTTAAAAAGTATCAAAGAATTAGCTATTAATGGTGGAATTTCAGAGGAAATGTTTTTATGCCAAAGGAGAAGAATATGTGTCTAAAAGTTCCCTCTCTAAAACACTGATTTCCCATTTATGTTCACGTGACATGCCGGCACAAACCTGTTATTTCCTTTACAGTTTTCAGAATGTCCAGCTCCTTTGGATCCAGAGGAGGGGTGCGCGTGAAGGAGTCCCTGCGACAAGGGGCAGGGCGGTTACCGATGACCAGTCTCTACCAGCTGAGAGGCAGCTCTTGTTTTTCTCTATGCAACTAACTAAACCCGTTACTTACCCCCTAAATGCTACCGGTAGGATGTGGAGATCTCCACTGATGGAGGTGCAATTTCTGAAGTATTTAATATTCGTAGCATTTATGGAAAGTGTGTCTTTAAATTCACCAATTCCAATTCCATTACAAACTGTCAAGGTAAGAGACACGTTTATTCCATTCGCAGTTGTTGGAGGAAGCGCAGCGAGGGCTCCACAGGCAGAGTGGAGCAGGACGGGAGTCCTGCCAGGAGAGCCACCACCCCCCTCCATCCTTCCTTCACACGACAGACAGACCCAGATGGAGGCCCGTCAGGGGCCAGGGCCAGAGGCAGGCTCTGGGGTTAGGGCGGCGGGAGCAGACCCCGCAGCCATGGCGGCTGTCGCCCACCTTGCTTTCTCCTCCTCCCCATTTCCCACTTGGGCCCCGGTCTGGCTGCTCCTGGGGACTCCTGTGCCTCTGGGCTCCCCGGGGCAGTGCGCCCACCTGCTGCTGCCGGACGGCCCTGCCCACGGCTTCTCCGACCGGGCTCTGAAGCGCTATCTTCATTTTTAAAGAAACAATATACCCAGTTTTTTGTTTTTGCTTTTTTAATCAGAAGACTCGAATGTGGCGGTGGGCAGGGGAGCCCCGCCTCACAGCCAGAGAACGAGCTTCGTCCGCACCGTGCCGGGCTCCTACCTTTGCGACAAGGCCCTTCACACTTCTTACACTTGCGGATGTTGTCTTCCTCCACCTCGTAGCTGTCTGAACCGCAGGCGCGGACGCACGAGCCGTGATCTGTCACCACGTAGTTACCTGAGGGCGCCGGGAGGGACCAGGTGAAGGCCGTGCCAGGTGCCGCTGGGCTCTCCAGGAGCTGACGAAAAGCACCTGTGCACCCTTGGTTTTACTTGAAGGACAAAGAGTGAAAGGTTGCAAATGGGAAGGGACTCAGATGCAAGAGTTTAATCATTTTCTAGACTGCAGTATGGAGAAAGGCAGGTGTTTCACAGCACGGAGGACCAGGCCGCTCGGGAGAAACATCACGCCTGCTCACTCGTTCAGAGCACCTCTTCGAAGCTCATTTTGTTTTCCTGTAGAATCTGTCTTCAGGAAGTATAGCTAAAGCTTGAGAATGTATTAAAAAACGAGAATCTAACTAAACATCCCCCTGACGCACCCACATCCGAGGCTGCACTGGTTCCCGTGCTGGCGCCCAGGTGCCCGCCGTGGCCCTCCCCGCGGCGGCGGGGCCTGCGGTTCTGCGTCCCAGCGGGTGCCTCGGCCTTTCCTCTGCCTTCCCTCACCCTTACGGTAATTGGTTTCTGTCTATATTAACTTCTATGTGATGTCTACGGGGTCTGTGTGTTCCCGTTCGGAGTTCCCGAAGCAGGTCCTAGAAAACACTTCCCGGACGCTGGTGGTTTGTCTTCTGTGAGTTGTCCGCTCTGTTACCAGGGCTCTCGGTGATTTCTCGCGGACTTACAGCTCTGCCGTCTCTCAGAGATCATCTCTGCGTCATCGTCATGGCACATTCTTCTTTATCTTAGTTTGCCATTCACCTTTCAATGGATTATTCTGTTGTGTAGTTTTTTTTTCTGTACCAAGCTTAAAATTTTTCATTTACACAAATCTGGCAGAATAAAATCCCCCCTCATAATTGTTCTCTTAAATTTTTTCTCAACCTCCCCTTCTAGATATCAAGATTGGCTTCTAAAGCTTTTTACTTCGGCAAAGTTTCTCTTCTCTATTAGGAGGTATTTCATGTCACCATTTCCCTAAAGCCTACAGCCACCAGCAGAATGTAAATATTAATACAAACAAGCATAACCCAAACCAAACCAAAACAATGCAAAACAAAAGCAAACCTCTGCAATGCCCCTAAGAGGCACAACCGCGGCCAGAGCTTCATCTGCTCGAGAAGGCGGGGCTTCTGCGATGCTCTCTAAACAGCCTCTGCTGAACACCTGCCTGCCCCAACAGGTGAGCAGCGAAGCAGCCCAAGGGATCACGGCTTGGTGCCCATCTGAGGACTGAACACTCTGGGCCACTGCAGAAGGACCTCAGTTGTGGGGACTGAGCCACAGGTGCTTTTCCTGCCACGCAGCCTGGCCACTGACGCAGATGACGTCGCCTGTGGCAGACGCTGCCTTCCTGCCCCTCTGCGGTGGGGCTGGCCCCTCACGCTCACCTGCCCGCGGCGAGGCAAACGTATCGGCCCAAAGACTACCCGAGATGGGGGACCCAAGGGCTCCCACAGGGGACAGGACAGGACAAGGATGTCCAACGAGTCAGAGGGACCCAGGTGAGCAACTCACGGGGACACTTCTTCACACAGGTGGCACCAAAGCTGTATTTGCCCTCGGAGTTCACGTCCATCTGGTACGTGGTGGGGTTGTACAGCATGAGCGGCGGGCAGGTGTCCTTGCACGTGGCCTCGTCTCGGAACCTGCGGCAGACCTGTGGCAGGCAGGGGGCGCGCCAGTCAAGCACGGCAAGGACACCAGTGCCACAAGTGGAGGAGGCGCAGTGTGGCTTTGATTCCACTCAGAAAGCTCAGGGTACAGTTCTCAAACTCAGGTGTCCAATTAGAGTGGAAAAATCTAGCAAATTATTTTCAGTAGAGTCAGAAAGACCTTTCTCTTAAAAGTATGATTTTTCTTCAATGTGCCATCTAAGCTATGATTTATGGATTATGATCCAAGAAACATTTCTCTTTATTAATTTATACATAACAAAGGAGTTCACACATTATAGTGGTAACTATACAGTGAAGTTATTTTTTAACTCAGTTTACACTGGGTGTCCCTTACAAAGAACACTTGAGGATACATTTTAGAATTTATTGCCAAACTGCAGAAAACCTTGCCTAGGAAGGGTGCCGTGTGAAAAGGGCCAGATCAAATACAGCAACGGCTCTCCCTGCTAAGGACCAATCCATGTCTTCTTCCTGGAGCTGCAGGTTACAGTCGGCCCAGGCCAACCAAGTCAACATCCCTGGGGCAGGGTCCGGTCTCTGGAATTTAGGGACCTTCCCTTCCCTGACGACAGAGTGCTCTGGATCCCGTATTAGGGAGGGCCTGGCCAGGCTTGGTGCCGACCCCAGGGATCCGAGACGCTCCCGGGACAGCAAGGCTTCTGCCGGAGCTTTCTGCAGCAACAGGGATGAAAGCGATTGCTTCGAGACCCCGTGGGGCGGGGCGCACCCAGGAGGCGTCTGAGCAGTGGTGGAGAGAGCAGTGGGGCTGGCACCACGACCCTGATACAGTCCCAGCCTGCGGTGCTGCAAGGCCTGTGTGGCTCTCGGTGGACCTCCCAGGGGACCTCACCGCAGCCAGTCTCTGGGCTCAGCAGAACTGAGTGAAACAGCGAACGGTGTGCTGCCGCTGCCGGCGCAGCTGTGTTTAGCGCTTATTCCGTGCCCAGGTCCTGGTGACGGACGCCACATACTTTGTGCCATTTTGGCCACTCGGCAGGAGGGACTCTGTTATCCACCACTGTCAGCTGAGGAAACTGAGGCATGGGGAGGCCATATACACAATCGCTGTGGGTCTCACAGAAAGGGTGGCGGCAGGCTGACAGAAGCAGCCTGGTCACCGGGCAAGGCCAACACCCACGCCTGCTCCCAGGAATGCTGCCGGACACACTCCTCCCACAGGACCCCGTCTTGGGTCGGGAGGCGACGGATGGCAGCTCTTACCAGGCAGTCGCTCTCACGGGGCCCCGTGCAGCCCGCGGCGCACTGGTTGTGGCAGCAGTCGCTGGGGGACTTGCCGCGGCAGCGCCCGGAGCACTGCTGCGCGCAGATGATTTTGGTCACTGGAAAAGAGCAGAGATCCCCGTGAGCCGACCGTGAGGGCAGGGCTGTTTCCAAGGGACGCCACGGAGCACTTGCAAGTGGCGGGTGGAAAAGTGAAGGAAAAGCATGGATTTACGGATTCTGTGGTTTCTTGGGGTTCCCAGGCGTTTCCATTCAGCCAAACTCAATCAAATCATGACCTTCCCTCATAGCGCCTTTTTCCTAATATATTTTTAATCCCTTAAAGAGAACTAACCAGGTCAAGTCTAGACTTTCAGACCCGCTACACAATTGGATACCAGTTAGAACCAAGTTTCTGGGCAATGCAGGAAGCACATACAGACAGCCGAAGTACAATACCTGCAGGGAAGTAGCACTTCCATGGCACGACAGCACCCCGCAATTAAACATAAGGACAGATGGCGAGTTTTTAAGCTGACATATCGCCAGATTGCTTGGCCACTGAGAGTCTGAGCACGACAGCCACACTTAGGTAAACCACCCCTTCTATTCTAAAGTAGGACTCACACAGAAACCCTCTTGAGCAACGTCGCTCATACTCTGGTGCGGGTGGGTACCAAGGAAAGGGGGCCGAGAAGTCTGGTGGCCCATGTCACCAGAGACAAGCCTTCCGTTCCCAGGGAAACCTGCTGAACGTATTGTTAGAAGGCACGGCGGGGCACAGTGACTGGCGTTCACTTGTGTATGACAGGCTGAAGTGCCAAAAATAGCCCATCCTGGACTAACCCATGCGGTGAGATCTGCAAGACTATCATTCACGGAACTGCTAACATGTGGCCCTGCAGAGTCTTCCAAGGAACACAAATCCAATCCCGGCACTGAGGCAGGGAGGGCAGCGCCCGGGCTCGGAGGCCGTCCCGGACTTACGTTTCTGGCAGTTCTCCTCTCCGGTGCCCCAGCAGCTCCCATTGGGACAGCCTGGATCACATGTCTGGCCTGAAACGTAACGGCAATAGTTAAATCCATATCTTGGCAAAAGACAATGAGTGGCCGGAATCTGATGACACCCTTCCTGGGGCCCTGAGCTTCCAAATTTCTTGGTCTCTGTTTGTTCAGCTGGTTGGTTTGCAGCATGCTTTGAGGGATCGCCGGAAGAAAAGGTGAGCCACGCACTGCCTTTATTTCCACGTCAGCAGTAGAAACTGAGGCTGAGAGTAATTACTGTCATAGGCCACGTAAACGGGAATTCGAGTGAGCTCAAGGGCCACGTTTACAATTTGCTTAGGCTTGAGGAGTCCCCCGGCATCTAGCGCCACAGCGTGAAGGTGCCTGGCCTGGCGGGCCTTGGGCGTGTGCCCGCTGCACCCGGCCGTGCCCTGTCTTGGGTGGCTGTGTGCGCCGGTTTCTCTGGGTTGTCACATAAAACCTCCGAGACCCCAAACCAGAGGAGGCACAGGATGCTGCACAAAGGGAAAAAGTGTTGACAGTGTGTGTCCCTGTGTGGGTTACCTGCGACCTCAGCTATTAACTCACAACCTGCTGTCTGAAAATTTTGCAATCGATCAATTTCTGCAGCTTTTAAAATTGCTCAATCACAAATTATAGCTAAAAGGTGTTCACTCTCAATTAGTTGTGTTTCCCTTTTATCAGTATGGAGAAATCAGAAGGTCAAAGTGTTATATCTATATGGAGAGAACAGGTGGGGCAATACATTTGTTAAGAAGAGGTCCGCTGTGCAGACATCTTTTACCACGAGGTCACGGGAACCTAATGGAGTTAATGTTCCCAAGTCTGCTGCAGTCAGCAGGAATTTATCTCTGGGAGAATTTAGATTTCCAACAGAAGAGCTGACAGTGTGCCAAGTGACTATTAAACCAGAACACCCCTCTAATATGACGAAAACGCTTACGGTCCCCACCAGGGGGTAGAGCACTAGTGCCAAGCTGGTGCTCGTGGAGTCATGAAAGATGGTGAGGCCAAGCGTCAAACGGGCAGTGCACGTCGTGAAGAGGGAGGTTCAGAGAGAGAGAGAGACAGACAGACAGACAGAGACAGAGAGAGAAACAGAGTTAGAGACAAAGAGACAGAGACAGAGACAGAGAAGCTGGGGAGAGACAGAGAAAGAGACAGGGTCAGAGATAAGGGGACAGAGAGACAGAGAAGGGGGCAGAGAAAGAGAGACAAATAGAGAGATGAAACAGCAAAAGTAATACTTAGAAATGTTAAAAGCAGTTCTGTCTGTGGAGTGAAATTATGTTATTTTTACTTTTTACCCTATACTTCAATATATTTTTCAAATTTCATTATAAGCATGTACTAGGTATATAAAAAATATTTAAGACACAAATGCATCTTTCTCTAACAGGGGAACATTTGCTTAACCAACAAACTGAATTTCTATTTATGATTCTGTCATGAACCCTTGGTGACAATAAAAGAAATGCAGACACATTGTATAAAATACGGATAATAGAAAAAAGCAAATCATCTAGAGGTAATCGATAGACATAAATATGTGTAAATATAAGAATTGGAATCACACTGTACATTGTATTATAACCTTAAACATATCTAATAAAGCGTGACAATTTTTCCATGCCTTTATGTATCCTTCTAGCTAACATGATGATTGATAGCATGCCTACACTATAATTTATTTAGCTAATCTCTTAATTTTATATATATAATTTATCTGAAAAATTTATTATAAAGTTGCAAAGGAACGTTCTTAGACAAAAATATTTTTCTACATCTCGTATGATTTTCACTTCCCTTATTTCTTTTTTCTGTTATTCCTAGACATGATATTGATGGGTCAAAGGTGTGCATACTTGGCAGCTCTTGACACGCATTGCAGGCATGTTACCTGACTGGGCTTTATTACTTTCTATGCCCACAAGAAGATTAGAATTTCTGCTTCTCCACACCCTGGCTAACCCAAGTGTCTGAAAATTGAAAGGAACCCAAATATTTACAAAGGCAAAAATGATGCACCCTTATTTTATTTTGATCTCCCTTTTATTACAGTAGAAATAGCATTTTACTTTATTTCTTGGCCATCTTAGTGTGTGTGTGTGTGTATATGTGTGTGTGTGTGTGTGTGTATGTGTGGCTGCTGAAGTCCTGGGCCCATGTTTCTACTGGGAGCTTCATCTTTTTCTCGGTCTCCTCAAGACTACTTTAGATAGTCGCACAGCAAGGATGTTAACCTCTTCATGGCAATCAGACATTGCACAATATTTTCCTGGTCACCATCACCATTTTTTCACATGGAAATTGTCTTTTATGGTATCTGGCTTTAGCTTTTCTTCAACTTGATATTACAAATATTCATCTTTATATTTTCTTCTAGCACTTAAACATATATTAAAATATTTTATTGTATTATTGATGTGAAGCATTTTTTGTACTTCTCCTTAATGACTGTTCAAATACTAGCGTTTAAAATATTTTATTGTATGTATTTAATATGTATTTGGAATTTGTATTGTATGGAGTCAGCGATGGATTTATTTTAATTTCCTCTTAAGTAAACCCACTCGTTCTAGCTTCAAATTCCAAACTTTATCAACAGAAACACATTGCTGGGACACACTGCGTAACTTTTCTGAATCTCAGATGCCTTGTCCATAGAACACTCACATCACAGCGTGAGAGACTTCTCTGGGTAAAGATTAAATGAGATAACTTCTCAGCAGGAAGGAACGTGTGGCCTAAAACACTAGCCAAGGGGGCGGCTTCCCCCTGCCACAGGAGGGGGCAGGTTTACGAACTGGCCACTAGTCAGCTGAGTAATAAGGAAAATACGGGTATTAGGCAGATGGTGATTTTGTACTTTACAATATAACTAACCAAATATCCCCAGTTCCTTTTTTAAAAACCCTTTATAGTCCTGTCACTTTGATATTCCCCCCAATAGTTAAGTCATTCCAGAATAATTTATTGAATAATGAATTCTTCCCTTATTTGTTTGAAATGTCACTTCTGTATGGACTTTTGATTTAGTTAGGCTTATTCTTATATGTTGATAGCTTATTCTTTGATGTCTGTTCTGAAACCAATACCATACTTGGCTTGTAGTTCAAAGCCCTACGGTATCTGAACCCTGTTATTGCGAGAGCCTGTCCACCCCTCTTCCCAGCTCTTCCTTGGCCGTCTTCCCCACGGCCATGCGTGAGTTGGGGGGGCCCTTCTGGGCTGCCCGAGCTGAATCATGGCAAACTTGGATTAGCCCCATACCCTTTACGTGTCCGTTTTCGTTAAAATAAATGTGTGTGATTTAACCTCCTCCTTGTCTACCAGACAGCTGAGGAAATGCTAAACTTGATCTCATAAATAATATCAAAGTTTGCATTATAAAATACACCTCTCAGTTTCTTGAAAACATAGTAGGTGTCAGGATGAATAACATATTTGTAAGAGAAAGGGGCTTGCTACCCATGTGTGCAGCAGCGTTCTCCAAACTGTCAAAAGGCGGAAGCAGCCCGAGTGTCCGCTGGTGGACGAAGCACGAACCAAGTGTGGCCTAAACACACGATGGAATATCATCCCTCCGTAAAGAGGCATGAAACTCTTGACACATGCCACCACGGGGGCGGGGGCCTTGAGGACATCTTGCAAGAGGAAATAAGCCAGACACAAAAGGACGAACACCGTGGACTACACTTGTACGAGGGCTCTAGAGCAGTCAGTTCAGAGACAGAAGGTGGAACGACGGCCAGGGCCAGGGTCTGGAGACGGGGCCGACAGGGAGCTATCACCTAACAGGCAGAGTGTCAGGTCTGCAAGCTCAGAAGCGTCTGGATGGTGGTGACGCCTGCACAACGCTGTGCACGGTTACTATGAAGTTAAAAATAGGTGAAACGGTAAATCTTATATTATGGGTATTTCATCAAACAAATCAAGAAATAAATGAAATAAAGAAAAAAACGAGTAAATAGCAAACCAAAGGCTCTGGCTGATGACTTCGAAGGTCCATGCCAGCTGTATTTTCTTGGAGACCAAAAACCAAGCAGGTGCCCACTGCCCAGTTGCGGGGACACAGAACAGCAGAGATGGGGATCCTGTCTCATTTTAAGGGACTGGGAGCTCAGGAGGGAGCAGCTCAGGGAGCCTGGTGAGTGCAAACCTGAGTCTGAGCGCTGGCCAGGGCAGGTGGCAGGCCCTGCGTCCCTGTGGGTGAGCAGGGTGGGGACTGGGTCACGAGCATTCAGGGACATGTGGATAAACTTCCTCCCTGGGGGCTGTGCTCAGTTTTGCCCATGGCTCCGTGTGGGGGTATCTACACCCCTCAGTGGGGGGGGCAGCGCCCAGGCCTGTGCCGTGTTAGGACTCCGGAGCGAGTCAGATGCACACAAGCCTCCTAGAGGCAGGATGGAGAAGCCCCTGCTGCCTTCCCTGCCACACGTGGGCTCCACTGCCCAGGGGTGACCTGCCCTGTCAGCACGGGGCTAACTCGTACCACGAAAGACAGACTTTCACCTCTTTCTTAGATAAATGCTCTTCTAGGGGACAGATGTTTTGTTCACAATTTCTTTTTGTTTCAGATTATTGTGACTTGATGCTAAACATGTCTTCTCCCTTCCCCACCCAACACTGCACAGCTGGAGGCAGAGAGAACGTTTGTGCACCACTTACAATTGCCCAGGGCGTTCTGGAAGTCCATCGACATATTGCTCAGAAAGTCACTGCTGACGATGTCCCGCCACTGGATGGTCTCCACGTTGCAGAGGACAGGGTTGTTGCTGAACCGCACAGCACCATGCAGGATTTCTGCATGAGAATGGACCCGCAGTGAGCACCCCTTCCGCCTCCTTCACATTCTCGTGAAGTGTGTACGCATTTCTTTACATTGCTTTACATCTGCTAAAAAGATGCCAGTGTGCAAAACCAGAGTCCCTGTGGTTAGTCGTCTGGAAGCTTCCCTGGAAGAGGAGGCAGACGAAGCACTGGTCACTGGCAGTGCTGTGGGGGAGTCAGGACGTTTCTGAGCTGGGCCTTGAACAGGATTAGAAATTGAGAAGTAAGGACAGGGAGGAGGAGAATGGTTTCATCAGCGGGCACAGCACGAATGACGAGCGTGTGGTAAGCGGCGGGCTCCCCGGGGGCTGGCCGACTGGGCTGGAACTGTCCCTCGGCGTGAAGGGCAGGTGGCGGCCCAAGTGCTGTGGACCTGGAATGCGGGGAGGGGGTGGGCAGCTTGCCGCTAGCACACTCCCGGGCGCCTGGGGAGGATTTCCACCGGAGAAGAAGGGTGAGAGTGGTATGGGGCAGGAGGATCTGCATGGATGACAGAGACAGCAGATGCCAGGGGTGCAAGGGACGTGCGATATCCTACAATTGTTTCCAAGGAAGAGCTGAGAGGACGTGAAAAAGTCAGAAATGGAAAAAATCAAGCCTGCGCACAGGGAGAGTGTTGTTGCACCAAGGACGTTTAACAGGAACATTTACAGAGCGGCTCATGTGCACACAGCCCCGTGCCAGTGCTGTGGCGTCTGCGAGGACGAGCAGGACCTGCTGGCTTCTCTCTGAGGATGACAGGCCTGGGGGACAGACATGTCACACAGTTTAACAACCCCATGCCTGCAGGAGACCCTGACATGTGACGAGGCCAGGTACCGTGCTGGTGGATTTATAAGCATTATCTTCATTAATCCTCGTGACTGCTCAGTGACCATCTGTCACGCAAATACAGAAATAAACCACCCTTAGACATAGAAAATAATGCCCGCAGGCGGGGAATGGATGTGCCACGTGGAAAAGGAAGGCTTCCCTTGGGAGGGTCCTGGCGGCCGTGTGAGACGGCCACAAGGCGGACAGACGTGCAGGTTTCGGAGGAAGAGGAGGAGGGGCACGGCGGGCCGCGGGGCAGGCCCAGGGCAGCAGCACGGTGGCAGCAGGCGCGGGCTCCCTCAGTGGGTGGCGGACGGCAAAGGAGGCGAGCGGAAGGTTGGGAGGCCATGAGGCCCCAGTTGTGGCGCTTTGTGTGTGAGGTGAGAGGTGAGAGCAGGGCGACCCCTGGACACACCCACTTGGAAGCCGGCACAGGCGGGAGAAAGGGCGAGAGCCAGGCCCCCAGGGAGTGGCCAAGGTCGGCGCCTGGACTGCGAGAGGAGAGGAAAGGGCGGCCTCAGTGCCACTTCCTGGCGGCTCGCTGGCACTGTGGACGCTCGGGGCGTGCTGGCTGTGTGGGCCTGGGCTGATCGCCGAGCACCGCATGCGGCTGTGCCCAGGACAGCAGAAGCGGGCAAGTGCTTTACCTGGGGTCACTCTCCTCACTTTCTCCACAGCCCTAGGAAGCGTGGCACCACGTTTTAGCAGGTATGCAATCCACATTTTGAAGATGAGGAAACTGAGGCACAGATTAAAGCACACGTCCTGGCTGCTGAGGGACGGAGCTGGGGCAGGCACCCAGAAGGCTGGCTCTGGGCCCTGGTGTTGTGAGAGGTGCCCAGTGACCTGTGCAACAGGCTGCTGCACAGCGTGTGGGCGCAACACAAGTCAGCGTCGGCACAGACACGGAAACACGTGTGGGCGCGCTGGGCGGTTAAAGTGGTGGGTGGGAATTCTTAAGGCAGTTTACAGGTTGGCAAGGCAAGGAGCCACGAGGGGAGCGGCTGGCTGGGTCTGTCCTTGGTGCTGTACGTGGTGGCCCAGGTCCCAGTGCTGCACCCTGCTGAGCTCCTGTCGCTGCCAGTGCGACCCCTCTGTTCTGCGCCCCCTGTTGCATCTCAGCCCCCTCCTGCCGGCTCTGCTCCGTCAGACTGAGTGGCACGCGGGCAGAGAGGCACCCGGGAGGGGATTTGGTGGCAGTTGCTGGTCTCTCTACTCGTTAGTCTGGGGCCCTGGGATAGTTACCTTACTGCCATTTATTTACCTGTAAAATGGCAGAGCACACATCGTCCCTGGCTCACCTCGGTTCAACTCAGATTTTTCTACTTTGCCCTGGTATGAATGCGATACACATCCAGTATGCTCCCAACATTCGACTTACGACATTTTCAGCCTACACCGGGTTTATCTGGGTGTTAACCCCATCTAAGTCAAGAAGCGTCTGCACAACGCCTACTTTGAAGGAAGTTGTGCGCTTTAAAGGTAGCTCACGATTTAACTCTCTTGGCGCCAAACCTGCCACATCGTGGGGGCACAGTGATTGATCTCTCTGATATTTAAAGTCAACTTCCTCTTTCTTTTACTGTTCTCCCCATTTTCCTCCCTCAGGAGCCTCTAAGTGTCCTTGTCACGAGAACTCAAACGTCCACAATACCTTCATTCCCCGTCCTTAAATTACACGCAGCCTCGCGTGCAGCAGCGCTACTCTCGGAACTGCCTTACGTGTGGGCTGATTTTTAATGTCGCGCATCCCTGAGGCCTGGGTAATGAGGCTGGCAGTTTATTCACTCCCTGCACACACGCTGCTCACTGCCCCCCAGCTCGCTGCCATTTCTACTAGCTCTGTGGCTTTCCTCACTGACTTCCACGACCGTGGAGGAGCCGGAACCTGGCTCAGCTCTCCCATTCCCAGTCCACTGTCTCCCATCTTTTAGTAACTCCGCCTGCTGTATGTTGCACACAGGTGGCACTCAACACATGTGCACTTGATGAATAAAAGTCTTCTCTGAGGGGGAATTAGGAAACTGACAGGCTCACTGAGTGCCATGGGAATCACTCCCTGCTTTTACAACCTCCCGTGCCATGCCCCGCCGCTCACCCTGTAAGCTCCGCATGGGCAGCTCCCTCAGTCCGGATTTGTTGGCGCCATAGTTGGACAAGACTGCTAAGGCATATGAGTTCTCATAATGCACGTTTCCTCTGATGATCTGCAGGTTTTCCAGAGGAATCTTCTCCACTGTGTTGAGGGCAATGAGGACGTAACCAGCAACCTCCTGGATGGTCTAAGGAGATAAAACATGAACGTGTTATTTCTCTTCTGAGAAACTCAAGAATTTAAGGTCTGAAATGGGTCCAGAGAGCCCCAGGACACCCAGATGAGCTATGATGCACATGTGTGCTGAGCAGATGTGCAACACCGGGGCGACCACGGAGGGGGCAGGGCCGAGGCCTGCGGGGAAGGGCGATGTGCACTACTCGGGGAGGCTGGTCCAGGCTCCTCGTCCACTCAGAAGAACCAAACTCGTGTGCAGACAACCACACTTTGAACACTTATCCAAGCAGGAGCACAGGACTTCCACAGAAAAGTGAAAGGAAAGTCCAGGATTGGGGAAGGAGGAGGGCGGGCAGCCTGCGTGGCTGCGGCTGGCTGGCCGCCGGGAGTGAACTCCCGGGACGCGAGATGGAGCGAGTGTCTCCCTGTGGCCCATGTTCCCCACGGGGAAGCACCTGGACCCTCCCAAGCCCTGGCTTTAATTTGGAAAGGGGCTAGAAGACCGTTAGACAGAACCGCTCTGGGAAGTGTCCCATGTACCGCCCCAGACTTGGGTGCCTACAGGGGGATGCCATTCTTGATCCCACCTCTTAGCAAGCTGTGTGGGATCCCGGGAGCTAGAAGTGGTAGCAGCCTTTGGCATTAGAGACTCAGGCTGGGGCCTGGGGAACTGGCGATCGAGTGGGGTCGAGCTCCCACAGCAGGAACTGAAGAACAGGTATAGCAGGGCGCCAGCCACAGCACCAGCACTGGGCTCTGCCCTGGACCGGAGCAGGAGAGTGGCCAGGGAGGTGTGGTGTTGACTTGAGTGGCGATTCCTGTGGCTCAGAGCATCGTGGACTAGAAGCAAGCTGCAGCACTGACTGTATGTTCTGACGGGCTGCCACAGTGGAGACCGAGGAGTGAGCCCCCCAGGACCAGGCTGTGAGAAGGAAGCGGGTCCCACTCGTGCCAGCTGGGACCTCAGCACAGCAGCAGCCACCTTGCACCCAGGTACTTTGCCAGGGGCCTGAGGACAGCCCCCATGACTCAACCTACCACCTGAGACACCTGGCCACTTCGCATGAGTAACAGAAGTTGGGTACAAACCCTACTGCTAACACCACAGCTGGCTCTTAACTGCAAGTGCCACCTCCTGGCCTGGAGGTTGCCTGCACAGCCCATGATGACAACTGCCGACACGAGAGCACAGCACTCGGAAACAAGAAAGCTTCTCGGGACCACCACTGCTCCTTGCCCGTGCCCCCCAGCTGCTCACCCACCCAGGACACCACGACCACACCTGGAATTTGGAAAAGCCACCACACAGAGGTTTTGTTGCTGCACGCACCCAGACAATCCTGCCTAACCAACAAGCCAGTCGCATCTTCAAGAGAAAAAGTACACAAAAGTAAATTCAAAAATAATAAGTGGCTCTTACTCCAGATGGGCAGAAATCAGCGTGACGATAAAAGAAGCATTAAAAAACAAGGTACTAAGACACCCTTGAAGGAACACAATACTTCTCTAGCAACAGATCCTAACCAAAAAGAAACCCTCGAAATGTCATATAAATAATTCAAAATATTGATTTTAAAGAAGCTCAATGAAATGTTAGAGAATTTGAAAACAAGTAAAAATAAGTCAAAAAATCAGTTTAGAATATGAATGAGAACTCTAAGAAGGAGAAAAATGTCTTATAAAATCCAAACAAATTCTGGAACTAAAAATTCATTAAAGGAATTACAAAATCTTGAGAGCTCCAATAATAGACTAAACCAAGCAGAAGAAAAAACTTGAAGACAGGTCTTTTGAAATAATTCAGTCAGAGAAAAATAAAGAAAAAAGAATAAACAGGAATGAACAAGGCCTTCAAGACACGGGACTACATGAGGCAACTGAATTTATGAATTATCAGTATTCCCAAGGGGGAAGAAAAAAAATCAAAACATTTAGAAAACCTATTTAAGGAAATAATTGATGAAAACTTCCCAAGTCTAGCAAGAGTTTAGATATCTAGACATAGGAGGCCTATTGATCCCTAGGAAAACACATTACAAAGTGCATTTCACCACAGCATATTGTCATCAGAATGTTTAAAGTCATGAAGGAGAAAATTTTTTAAAAATCAGCAAGAGAAAAAAGCATCTAGTCACCTATAAAGGAAACCCCATCAAACTAACAGTGGACTTTTCAGCAGTAACCTTGCAAATCAGAATAGGATGGGATGATGTTTTCAAAGTGCTAAAAGAAAAAAACTGCCAGCCATGAATTTTATATCCAGCTAGATTAAGCTTCATAAATGGAGCAGAAATAAAGTCTTTCCCAGACAAGCAAACACTGAGGGAATTTATCACCACTAGACTGGCCCTATATAGAAATGCTCAAAAGAGTCCTAACATGGAAACCAAAGGTCGACATTCACTATCATAAAAACACACAAAAGTATAAAACTCATAGGTCTCATAAAACAATCACACAAAGGAGGAAGAGAAAGGAATCAAATGGCAAGACTACAGAATTCCACCAAACCACAAAGACAAATAGAGAAAAAGAAACAAAGACTTTATAAAACAACTAGATAATAATTGATAGGACAAAAACAAAATCTCACATATCAATGTTAACTTTGAACATAAATACAGTAAATATTCCATAGATTGGCAGAATGGATAAAAAATGATCCATATATATGTTACTTATAAGAAACTCATCTTATCTGTAAAGAAGCACATAGAATGAAAGTAAAGGGGCAGAAAAAGATATCCATGCAAATGGAAAACAAAATTGAACAGGAGTAGCTATACTTACGTCAGATAAAACAGACTTTAAATCAAAAACAGCAAAAAAAAAAAGACAAACAGGTTCATAATATAATGATAAAAGGATCAATTCAGCAAGAAAATATAACAATCCTAGATATATATGCAGTCTACATCATGCAGATTCATAAAACAAATATTACTAGACCCAAAGAAAGAGACAGACAGTAATACAATAATAGTGGGGGACTTCAACACCCCACTCGCAGCACTAGACAGATAATTGAGACAGAAAATCAACAAAGAAATGCTGGACTTTAGATCAAATGGACCTAACAGACATTTACAGAACATTCTACCCAGCAAGTACAGACTACACATTTTTCTCATCAGCACATGGAACATTCTCCAAGATAGACTATATGTTAGGCCATAAAACAAGTCTCAGTGAGTTTTAAAAAACTGAAATCATATCAAGTAGCTTCTCAGACTACAGCAGAATGAAATGAGAAATCAATTTCAAGAGGAAATTAGGAAATTATACAAATACATTGAAATTAAACAACATGATCCCGAATGATCACTGGATCAATGAAGAAATTAAAATGGAAACTGAAAAATGTTTCGAAACAAACGAAAATGGAAACACAACATACCAAACCCCCAGGGATACGGCAAAAGTTGTGCTGAAAGGGGAGTTTATAGCATTAAATTCCTACATCAAAAAAGTAGAAAGATGACAAATTAACAACTTAACATCACACCACAACTACCATTTGATCCAGCAATCTCCCTGCTGGGTATCTATCCAAAGGAAAGCACATCATTATATTAAAAATGCACCTGCACTCACATGCTTATCACAGCACCATTCACAATGGCAAAGACATGGAACTGACATAGGTGTCCATAAATGGGTGATTGGATAAAGAAAATGTGGTGCATGTGCACAATGGAACACTGCGCAGCCACAGGAAGGAACCAAATCATATCTTTGCAGCAACATGGATGGAGCTGGAGGCCATATCTCAAGTCAAACAACTCAGACACAGAAGGTCAAACACCGCACGTTCTCACTTATGTGTACACATGGAGACAGAGCGTGGATGATAGCTCGGAATTGTGGAGGGTGGGGGGTGGATGATAAGAAATTACTTAATAGGTACAATGCACTTTGTACGTTATTTGGGTGATGGATACACTAAAAGCCCTGACTTCACCAGATGTAATCATACATAATACATACATGTAACAAAATTACACTTGTACCCCATAAATTTATACAAATAATTTTTAAAAAGGAATGCTGTGACTATCATTCTACTTGGTGTAAAATACAGATAAAAATGGAAATTAAAAAAATTATTTTGTGCCTGTCTTGTATGATATCTTATTTTAAAAGAAAGAAAAAAAAAATCTAAGAAGGTGGCCAAGCAAATCTAAGTTCAACTACCGCCAAACTCTGAAGCCTTCAGAGTGGCTCTTACCAGCTCACTAGAGCCTACCATGAAATAGTCAGCAACTCTGCGACTTGCTTCTGCAGCTCTTGGTAGTTTGAAATCAGCTATGGTGGGAGTATTCACAGCAAGGAAAACGGGCAAATGCTACAAAACAGGGCTTTTTTTTTTTTTTTTTTTTTTAAGAACCAGTATACCACCAGCACACCATGGCTGAAGTAATGGTCAGGGTTTGCTGCCAGCGTGTGCGATGGCAGTGGAATGCCAGACCAGCCTATTTCCCTTCCATGTTCTTTTCTAGCTGTTACTTGACGCTCGCTGGTAGAGTGGCTTTCTCACAGAACTCCCATCTGTACCTTCCTAGGACTCGTAATAGCCATAGCAAAAGTAAACACACTTTAAGTTAAATTCTGCTAACTCCTTTACCTACTTATATTTACTTGTATTATATTTGGGTAGGACAATCAACATCATTGAACTAACCTTTAAGAAGGAAAGGTCATAATTCTTTTGCACGTAGGTAATTTCCAAATTCCCAAGGACCACTTCACAGTTATTGAACATCCTCTGGAGGCTCAGAAAGTGGTCTTCAAAAGTGCCCAACTGGGTGAGCTTGTTACTTGTGCCTTGGCAAACTGGAAGAAAAAAGAAGATATTATGTGAAATGCTGAGAAAAGTAGGAAAACTAAAATAAAACAATATTCATTAACTTTATAAACTTTAGTGACCTATGATATTCTGATTAAAGGACATATCAAGGCAAATATGATAAAAATGTTTAAGTTTATATAAGTGAACTTCATAGTAAGAGATAGCTTGTCCCTATAATGCATGGAATTGCATTACATTAAAATACACACATAAAAAATGATAAAAATTCAAGGGAGAATAGACGAAATGTTTAAAAAGTCTTTAAGATAAGTCTATAAAAGCTCCAGTAGGCAAAAAACTAGTATCATGAGGCATTTAAATAATAATTGCAGGGCTGAATTAATAACTACATAATGAACTTTTTACTTTGCACAAATACAGTATGTCACATTACTGTGTGTGCAAAGAATGTTTACAAACATAACATACATTGGGCAATAGTTTCTGACCACAACATTGCACACCTAAAATCAGCGACAAGACTGTCAATTAAAAACCTAACGGGCTGGAGATTAAAAATATTCTTCTTTATTAATGCATCAGAAAATATTTGAAACTCGGACTTGGGGGGGGCCAAGGGCAACATACGTAACCTAAACATCTGTACCCCCATAATACGCTGAAATAAAAGAGAAAAAAAACAAATCAAAGGTCTAATCATAGAATATTTAGAATATAATAGAAACGGAAATATAACATTTAAAACAACACTCAGCTAGTGAGAACCCAACACGTCCCTCTGTCTGTCCTCACTCCGTTAGTCCACCCAGCACAGGTGCAGGCTGACAGCTCTGCACCACCTGCCACGGCCCAGCCACGGCACGCTCAAGCCCTGACGCACTTTCGAGGTATCAAACTTAATCTGAGGAAACATTTAAACTAGGGGACAAAGCTGGACTATAGCAATGCACCTGGGAGGCCATATTTAAAAGCAAAGGAGAGGATTACACTAGAGTTGTGTTTCCAGACCCAGCTCCGTGGGAGGCGTGTCTAGGCCAGCGTAACAAAACACAGGCTTGGGGCTTTGAGGCGGGGAGCTTGTGAAGGGGCTACGATTTGAACCGAAACGATTGCAAGCGTGAAGAGACATGAACTCCGGCTTTGGACATTGGATTCAGACCTGGCCAGACCCTTCCTTATCTCCACGGTGCTAAGCAATCAGTGACCAGGTGGCAGAGCACAAAGCAAGGCCACGGCCAGCACGCACGCACTTTCTTTAGAACTCTTTTTAAAGGTGCGTTTCTACTTTACAGGATTCTCTGTTCCCTGCGCATGGAATTACGCACCGAGCATCACCTGATGCCCAGCGACGAGCCGCAGGCGAGCACATCAGACAGCACAGGCAGCGCCAGCGCTCACGCAGACGCCGAGCGTGAGGCTGTCTCCACGTGCTCTTTAGCTCCGTGGCCACTTCCCTCTTCTTCCCTTCCGTGTTCTCATTCGAATTCAGTGGCAGCAAGAACTTTCACGTGGGAACTACGAAAATCGACACTGTGGACTCCCTGTCTGCTACCTCCGGGGTGGAATTCTATAATTTTTCCAACCACCACGCTGACTCGGCCCCGCATCTCTGGGCTGCTGCCACTCCGGAGCATGGGCTGCTCTGGACGCAGCCTCAAGGTGGAATAGCCGTATAACTGTCGGCTACACGTGCAGACAGGGCCAGACTGATTTCCCAATTCTAAGGCCCTTACAGACGTCACTACTCATGTAGGTACAGGGTTTTGACAAGACCACATGACCTTCCAGGTGACACACCTTGGAACAAAAGCTGCTTTCCTGGTTGACAGACTATGGCTTCTGTCTCTCGTTCTAACTGATCGGCTGCGGTCCAGGTAGCAGCAAGTGCTGCTTGGCCCTCGGCTAACCTGGGGATCAGGGTCAACTAGCACCTGGGGCTGGAGCAGTTTTCAGAAGTTTCTTCAATGTACAGAGGGATGGAGACAAAGACAGTTACTTTCATTTTAAATGATCACGGACATTAGCTTGTAAGTTTCAGCTGAACCAAAGAAATTTTTATTTTTAAATCAATAAGTAATTTTTATCAGTAAAATACAGGACAGCATGCCATTTAAGATTAGTCTGTTAGACGAAGCAATATTTTTAAAAGACTGTACTTGTGCTTTCCTTCATTTACTCAAAAAGTCATAAATGAGCACCAAGAGTATTTATTTGATGAATACCTATCATGAACCTTTTATTGTCTATGACTTAGCATGAATTACTTTTATATTCAGAAAAAAGATCCTATATTTGGAAAATAATAGCAACATTAGACATTATTGATATGAATATTAATTCATATAACATTTTGGGAAGCAACTGGACAACCCGTGTAAACAAATGAATATGCTTGATTCTACATCATGATGATTCCACATTGGAAAACCTATTCTGAGGAACTAGACCTAAACATAGAAAAAGTCTGGCCAGGCACAGTGGCTCATGCCTGTAATTCTAGCACTCTGGGAGGCCGAGGTAGGAGGATTGCTTGAGGTCAGGAGTTTGAGACCGGCCTGAGTCAGAGCAAGACCCCGTCTCTAGCAAAAATAGACAAAATTAGCTTGGCAATCACTTGAGCCCTGGAGTTTGAGGTTGCAGTGAGCTATGATGACACCACTGCATTCTACCAGGGGCAACAGTGAGACTCTGTCTCAAAAAAAAAAAAAAAAAGTTTTATGCAGACTGCTGTTCATTATTTATTTTTTAATAATGGTAAAAATTTGCAAAGAAACCTCAATCCCCAATTTACCCAACATGTCTATACTTGAGAATAAGGAAGCAGTTGATATATTATCCGATTCAATATAAGGCAAGTCCATCCTGATTACCATCCTAGGGTTAATTACTAAAGTGTGAAAAGAAATCATGACAAAGCTGTTTCTTCTGAGGCTTTCTCTTTTCGTATATCCAAAAGGAGAGCGCCGCATGTAGGCGAGATCTAGGATGAGGGTCAGAATAACTTGGTCTAGGTTTCCTGATTAAAAAAAAGTGTAAGTCTTGTTCCATCTTTGTACCAAATATCTCATGTTATAAATACAGAGCAATGAGGAAAATTTAAATGTGAGACCACCAAGATAAGTAAAATTATTCAAAAAATAACAATCACAAACTAGTTAGGCAGATTCAATACAAAACTGAAAAGAGTAAGAGCTTTTTAATTAGTCCAAGAGAAAGTTTTTGTTTAACCATTTCCTCATTGTGTGACTTTGAACCACTTCCCTAAGCTATGCCATGCCTTTCCTCAAATATGAAGATGGTGACATGATATTGACCTCTGCTGTGGTCTGAATGTGTCCCCCAAAGTTCATGTGTTGAAAACTTAATCCCCAAAGCAACAGTGTGGAGAGGTGATTAGGTCACGAGAGCTCTGCCCCCCTGAGTTGATTACGGTCGTTACTGTGGGAGTGGGTTAATCATCATGGGAGTGGGTTCTTCATAAAGGTTGAGTTTGGTTCCCTTCCTCTCTGTCCCCCAACCCCTCACCCACACACTCTCCTGCCCTTCTGCCATGGGATGACACAGCATAAAGGCCCTCACCAGGTGCCAAGCAGATGCTGACGCCATGCCCTTGGATTTCCCAGTCTCCAGAACCACGAGCCAAATAAATTTATTTTCTTTATAAATTACACAGTCTGTGGTACTGTTATAGCAGCACAAAATGAACTAAGGCAACCTCCCTAAATTGTTTTGAAGACTGAATGACTATATAAGCTTTTGACTTTCTTTTACTAAAGTTAGTTACTGAGAATGTGACAGGAACATAATATGACGTGCATCTGGACAGATATTAGGGGACTTCAGTCGATGTATATTACCCTAAGTTATGTCTAAACTGGGATGTATGGATCTGCATACAGGTTTATTCCAAATGTTAGACATAAAAAAGAACACATTATACTTTAAGAATTTCATAAAGATATGCATTTAGGATTAGGTATTTAAGTTATTCAATGAGAAATTTAACATTAATTTAGGTCTATACATTTGAAAACCACACAATTAACAGTGTTTGTGTCAAGCTCCATCCAAAATGCTAGTGCTCTTGTAAATGCTCTAGCTCTTGTAAATGTGATGACAAATTCTATACATCAAGAGACCAGCAGGCCCTACAACTCAGGTCTTCAAACCACTAGGTTTTTGTCCTCAGATTTTATCATGAAGATTTGTAAATATATAGAAATGCTGAACAAACTGTATCATGAACATCCTTACGTTAGCATTTTACTGTATTTGCTTTATCACATATCTATGCATCTATCCATTTGATTCTGGGATGCATTTTAAACTAAAGTAGAAATATCAGTATACTTCACCTTGGCATGTCACTGACTACAGTTCAATATTAATTTACAGTTGTTGTTGTTTTTGAGGTAACATTCACCAACGGTGAGAGGATTAATCTTTCAACAAACGCGTGTGCCTGTGCAAACCAAGCTCCTATTGCAGTATAAGCCATCACGGTCGCCCTCGTGCCCCTCTGAGTTGATCCTGCCCCTACGCACCAGAGGCACACCGTTGTGAGCTCTTTGTGCTGCAGAATCATTTTGCCTACTTTAGAGCTACATGCAAATGAAATCACTGTGTTGCCCTTTGTGTAAGGCTCACTTCACAGTGTAGCATTTCTGAGATGCCTCCCCGCTGCTGGGTCACACCTGGCTTTTCGTGAGATTCAGGAAAGTGTACACGGGAGTCACCTGTCTCTGATCCTTGGGCACCTAGGGCTGACCCACGGTCTGGTTATTCTTTCTCTTAAGAAAACCCTCACTTATCTTAACTGAAAATAAAAACAACCTGCCTCCTTTAAGTCTTGAAATGACCCTGGTTTTATGGGGTAGGCTCTGTGGCCTTCCTCTGCCATTATGGGGGTGTACACCTCTCTCTGCACACAAGCCTAGGCAAATCTGTATCACTGATTAACACATGACATTAAAACAAGTTTCTCCAGATTTGCCCAAATCCACTTAGACACTTAGTAGATTTA